AAAATTAAAGAAGGAATACATTTGACAGAACAGAGATCCAAAGAGACTAGAAAGGAAACAACATAAAGTACAAACTACCAGGCATGGCAAGAATGAAGATCTGAGTTAAACCTTAGTAAGGTGCCCCCATCCCCCAGAAAAAAAAACCATAGAAGAGCAAAAATTACTGGAATATGAAACATGACTATAATAAAGAGGGTCAAGATAAGCAAAATTTGGTTCTTTTAAAGAAAATAAAATTGATACATTCCTGTCCAGATCAGCTGACTCAAAAGTGAGAAAAATATTCCTTCCCCTCCCCCCCAAATGTAGAATGAAGAGAGACAAAACTAGAGATATTAAAGAAAAAGAGAATATTAGCTGTGTGCTGGTGGCTCACACCTGTAATCCTAGGTACTCAGAGACTGGGATCTGAGGATCATGGTTCAAAGCCAGCCAGGGCAGGAAAGTCTGTGAGACTCTTTACCTCCAATAATCACAGAAAAAGCTGGAAGTGGCGAACCTTGAGCAAACGTTGTTCAGGGACAGCACCCAGGCCCAGAGTTTAAGCCCCAGGACTTGGCAGTGGGGGGTGGGGGGACCCAGAATATTTTAAGACAATTTAGAAGATTAAATTTAAATGGTGAGATAAAGTTTTTAAAAGGTCCAAATTTTATTGACCAAAAATGACTCAAGGTGAAGGGAAAAGTCTGAGGAATTAAATTTTGACACTAAATTCTGATGAGTTTGTACAATAAAAGAAAATATAAGCCAGCCATATAAACATGGATGTAAATAATACTAAACAAGATATTGGTAAACTCAAAAAGCAAAAGTCAACATTGTACATGTGAGCAGGCAAATGGTGAAGAAGTTGATCTAGCTGGTTTAATCACCAGTAATTTCAGTCAGAGTTAGGTCCCACAGTGGGAAAAGGGGGCATTATTTAATGTGAAGTCAAATGTGCCCTTGATCCAGGGACCAAAGTGGGGAAATAATGCATAAACTTTACAGTTTGCCCATTTTAAATATACAGTTTACTAGATTTTAGTATAGTATAGAAACTTATCACAATCTTAATTTTAGAACCTGTCTGCCTCTTGGAGAGCGAGCCCTGTATCCATCAGCAATTTCTTCTCATTACCCATTCCTATATGCAACTACTGTTTTCTACCTCTCTAGATTTACTGTTCTGGATATTACTTTCAAGGTCTTGGTGGCTGGCTTCTTTCACTTAGCATAGTGCTTGGAAGGCTCACCTGTGTTGCAGCAGGTAGCAAGACTCATTCCTTTGTCCTGTTAAATAATATTCCAACATGCAAGTATACATGTATCCTTCCATCAGTGAGTGGATATTTGGGTTGTTTTCTTTAGTTGTTATAAATAGTACTATCATGAAGTACATACGTGCATGTGTTTGTGGATATGCATTTTCATTTCTTTAGGTATTTTGCAGGTGCAAAACTGCTGATCATGGCTAATTTTATTCATTTGTAGAGATCTAGCATTGATCTTCCACTTTATTCTCTACTATTTATACCTTAAGACAATAAATTTCATTTATTTTTCTTATTGGCTTTGTTTCACTAAAAAAATTATTATCTCTTAAGTAATTGTGCAAAGGGGCTTCATCAGTTCAGCCTATCAGTTTATAAGTACAATGCATCTTGATCAGTGTTACAGCTTCCATCATTCTTTCCCCATCTTTCTCAGCCTTACCCAGACCTTCGGTGGTTCTGTTTTCATTAAAAGTTGTAAGAATTATTCAACCCCTTGCTTCCATTTAGTTAGTCATTACAAATGCTTCTAGCACCATCTGAGATGCTATCGATGCTATTTTCCTCTGTTGTTTAGAGAAGGTAACAAAAAGTATTATTAATTTGTTGACTCTCACTTTCTCTAAAGGTAGTCTGAGAGAGAGGCCAGCATGGCAAGGATTTTAGGGGGACAGGAGTGGTAGTCAGGAGACAGAGAGGGCCAGAATAAGCAGTTTGACAGTTGCCCTTTATTGCCTTGTGTAAGGAGCTTCCTGCAGGACAGAGGAGAGAACGGTGAAAAGAGAAGGTAGTCATTAATAAAATACCATTTTGCTCATTATAGCTTTAATGTTGCAGAGTTCACTTGAAGGGCAAACTTATGAAACCTGCCTGTCTCATGATCCTTCTAAGGTCTACAGGTTTTGGAATTCACTTTTCTTCACTGTCATCATCTTTTCCTCTTCTTTTAAAATAAAACATTACTGCACTAGGATTGTACAAGGTGATGAGAAGCTCTGTGATTTCCAGTCATACTTATCACATTTAATCACAGCATTTTCCTAGTTTTCAGAAATAACTTTGAAATCAATTTAAAATGTCAGTTACTTTAGCTTAGTCAGTATAGAAAGCAGGGAATGTGCAAAAGCCAAGGGTTTCTTCCCTCCAATTTAGTACTCTGGGTTGTGAAATTTGATTGCATAGACATATATCGATAAAATTAGATGGTGATTTCAGCTGTAGAAAGTTCACTACATAAAGTCCAGCTTCTAGGGCTTGGGGTTCTATCCGTGTCTTAGTTCTGGCGGAACATAGGAATAATGAAGCTCTGCAGGTAGAATACAGGGTCATGGGTTTTATTTATTTATTTTTGTGGGGGGCTTGAACTCTGGGGCTGAGTGCTGTCTCTCAGCTCTTCAGCTCAAGGCTAGTGCTCTACCACTTGAGCTACAGCGCCATTTCCAGTTTTCTGGTGGTTTATTGGAGATAAGAGTTTCACAGACTTTCCTGTCCAAGCTGGCTTTGAACCGCGATCCTGATCTTCAGATCTCAGCCTTTTGAGTAGCTAGGATGACAGGCGTGAGCCACTGGAGTCCGGCCTGGTCATGGGTTTTATTTAAGTCATTTTGCTCAGTTCTGCTTTGTCTTTCACATGTATTATACCATTAATATCTAAGTTTGTGACTGCATTTTAAAAAATTCTCCTCAGTTCTAGGCTAATCTCTGCTGCTTTAGAGCAGTATAACCTTCTATTCCTTGATTCCTTGTCTAGAATATAAGAATTAAATGTGAGTCTGGCTGGGCACCTATGGCTCAGGCCTGTAATCTTAGCTACTCAGAAGGCTGAGATCTGAGGATCATGGTTCAAAGCCAGCCCAGGCAGGAAAATCTATAAGACTGTTATCACCGCTAAAAACTACCAAGAAAAGCTGGAAGTGAAGCTGTGGCTCAAGTGGTAAAGTGCTAGCCTTGAGCAAAAGAAGCTCAGGGTCAATGCCCAGGCCCTGAGCTCAAGTTCCAGGACTGGCACATAAATAAACAAATCTGTGTCTGTCTAGTTGAGTAATTGTAAGGATTGAAAATGGATATTTACATTGAACACAATGCTTGTAATACATAGAAGCTACTCATGAACATTACTTTTCACTATTGCTTTCTAGTAGAGTCTATCTTGTCCTAGATATGCCAAGCTACATCCTCTGGTTGCTTTGTTTTGCTGTTCTGTGTCCTTCGTTTGAGGGTGGCTTGAAGAATGGGAGAGTAGAAACAGTGATCCTCTGCTAATAGTGATGTCACATGACTCCAGAGAAGAAAGGTTGTTAACTACTAGCTGAACATCATCACATCTACATATTCTACTGTGTGTATGCATGTGTGCTCGCGCTAGCACTGGGGCTTGAACTCAGGACCTGGGTGCTATCCCTGAGCTTTTTTCAAGGCTAGAGCTCCACCACTTGAGCCACAGCTGCACTTCTGGCTTATGGGGACTTAATTGGAGATAAGACTCTCACGGACTTCTGCCTAAGATAGCTTCAAGTTGCAATTCTCAGATCTTAGATCTCAGCCTCCCGAGTAGGATTACAGGTGTGAGCCACCAGCACCTGGCTTCCACTTGCTCTTGAAGTCTCCCCAAATTGGGTTCCATTATCTGAGAAAGTACTTTCATCCACTTCTCTGCCAAGCTAGACTCCTGAGTGACCCTTGACACCACTTTTCCTTCACCTACCGCCTGGACTCTACCACCAGTCCCATACATTTCTAACCCTTCTTGGCTCTGCTCTCTGTAACACTTGCCCCCACAACAACCTGTGTCCCTTAACTCTGCCACCAGAGCCATCACAGTGATCACTTCAAGTTACAACACAAGTTTCTCCTTGATTCTCTTCATTAAAGCTCCTAGCTAAGATTTAGAAATCTCCAAGTTGGCTTATTTTCAGTCCATTTCATGCTGTCCCTCCCTTGTGGAATCCAACAGCAGATTCTTCAAATTCCAGATATTGCTGTTTCCTCCCCTTGCTCTTTTTGCACTCACTTTACCTTAAGAAGACTGCTTCCTATCTGGGAAGACCTGACATGTAGTGCAGAATCAATAAATACTTGTAGGATGAGTAAAATGAATAAAAATTAAAAAATCTCCTAAAGTACTGAACAACAGCATTTCTTTATGAAGCTGTGAACTTAATATGTGGAAATAAATTTTCGGTTCTCATGTGAAAACCTTTAGTAGTTTGTGACTACACTAGGCATGTGCCGTTTTTCTAACTTTTAGAATTTTATAAATTTTAGAATTGTCATTACCAAAAAATATATTAGTGGGGGAAAAAAGCCTGTTGAAAAAGAAGTATTTATTGATGGCTTAATGTTCACCTGGTACTGCGAGTGTGTTGCAGCCTACTTTCCCAGAGAGGAGAGATGATAATCAAGTGCACAAAAGATTTCAGCTCTTGGAAAGTACCCTGAAGTAAATGAAACAATATAATGGCATGAGGAAGGTAGTTAGAGAAGTCCTAATGGAAAGGTAACACTTGAACTGAGTGACATGGAAGGTGTCAGTCATAAAAGCCAAAGCCCTAGGCAGAGGGGACAGCATAAGCAAGAGCACTAAGGTCACTGTCAGCCAAGCTAGTTTGTCCTGGGGTACAGTGAGTGAAGCAAGGAGGAGTTCAGGCTTTTAGAGTTGATGATACCATGGCTTAAAGTTGTGATTTTGCCCCTTATTGGCTGTTTCCACAAAATGAAGGCCATGATGATGTCTACTATATCGGAATGGTGCTAAATACAGCCATAATAGTAAGTTAGCAGTAATCTTGTATATCACTGATAACTTAAGCATAATTAATAGACCTTTTTATAGAGTTTATGTGAAGGCCAAACTGGTAAAATGAATGCTACTTAAAATATTGGCTCTGTGTTTTTAATGGCTTACTAATTTATCATCTTACAATATAGTTTATTACTGCTAATCATTTGCAAGTATTAACATATGTACTGATTTCTTCCAAAAGGTTAAAAAGCTGAAGAGAGAACTCTCCCAGATGAAGCAAGAACTACTCTATAAAGAACAAGGGTTTGAAACATTGCAACAGTGAGTAATAAAAATACTGATGGGCTGGGAAGGTGGCTCAGTGGTAGAGTGCTTGCCTCGCATGCATGAGGCCCTAGGTTCGATTCCTCAGCACCACATAAGCAGAAAAAAAAGCCAGGAGTGGCACTGTGGCTCAAGTGGTAGAGCGCTAGCCTTGAGCTGAAGAGCTGAGGGACAGTGCCCACACCCAGAGTTCAGGCCCCACGACTGGACCCCCCCCCCAAAAAAAAATAAATAAAAATAAAAAAATAAAAATAAATTAAAAATACTGAAATTGACTTTACAGTAATTCAAAGCTCCCTAACTTAAGAAAGAGGGAGTAGAAGTACTGATTAAATAAAAGATATCTCTAAGCAACATAAAGCAAAAATGCCCAAAGCTCTGTACCAAAAGTATTTTAAACCAGCAGTCAACTAACAACAACAACAACAACAACAAAAGACTTGGGAAAAATATCTATATACTTTGAAAGGTCTGTTTTTATTAATCATTGGAGATCAAAAGAAACCAAAGTGAAAAACGTTGTCTCCTGAACCCTAGCCAGCCTCTTCTAAAACTGTAGGGTAGCTGAGTTTGTGGGTCCAGGAAGCACTTCATATCCTGCCTTGGGACTGCACTGGGTGGACTATTACTTAATCCTCTTTCAGCCTTCAGCCGCCCTGAGCTCTCCTAGACGTGCAGTCTCCCTGTCAATCCCAGAGACCTCAAATCCAACCTGACTGTTTGCAAAGGAGCAAAAACAAGTTAGGAGCTTGCCCTGCCACATTTCCCATTGATTCTCACTTTCCATTTTACTTCTGAAGTTTGATGGGCCATTGGAATAGCTTTAGGCTGAGCCAGACTAAAGGAAAATATAGTATGCCTACTCTGGACCAGCCTAATGAACCTCACTGTTCTTTCTACTAAGGAGGCCCACCCTAGCCAAACTATAACGGGCGAGCCTGACTTTCTATCCCCCATTCCTTAGCCTGGAAGCCTCATAGAAAGGAGCTATGGTTTTCATAGCTACATGACCCCAAGATGATCAACGATTGCCCTCTGCCGCTATGTCCCTCTGCATGGCACTGGATTGGGTGCTACTTACCACTTGTGGTACAGTATTTTAGGGTTTTCCCTCATGAGTTTCATGCTCAACCAGGTTTCCCAGACTCTTCCTCACTAGTGCCTCAAGAATGCCAGACTGCTCCCAATAGCCACCCCTGTGGAAAGCATCCAGCCCTGTCTCTTTTGTCTGTGAGATCCTACTCTGCTTTCTTCTCTTAGGAAACTTGGAACAATCCAAGGCAGTAAGGCATTTCCCCCATTAAAGATTGTGTGCCTCTGGCCAAACGCGTGCGTGCGTGCGTGCGTGCGTGCGTGCGTGCGTGCGTGTGTGTGTGTGTGTGTGTGGTGGCTTGTACCTGATTGTGTGTGTGTGTGGTGGCGTGTATCTTGGGATGCCTACTCACTACTCACGATTGACCACCAGTCAGGCACATGACTGTCACTTCAGAGGTTTGCTTTTTATGGCTCAGTTTCTTTTTGACTACTCACTTCATAAAAATCAGTGTGCTAATATTCTTTCAGATGCTTCTATCCTGCTGTTTCTCAAACCTGGCCAAGTATTAGGATGATCTAGGGAGCTCTCAAAAAATACCTGTTTCTGGTGTCCGCAGTAGGCCAGGCGTATTTTATGAGATCCTGGTGGGTCTTAAAATATAGCCGAGTTCTGAGAAAAAGTGCTGCTGAGCAGCATCTTGAAAGACCCCAGGACTCAGATGACCTAAGTGTGTTGTTTAGCAATCGTGTATCAGTATTTTAAAGCAGGACTTCCAGGTTGGGATGAGGAAAGAAAACAAACTTTATAGAGTGCCACAAAATGTTTGACTGTACCATATGTTAAACATTTTTAAGGCACATGAAATTATAACCCATGTCGCCACCCAGGTTTAAAGGTTAGCCAAACTCCTTGCTTTTGTGATGTGGATGTGACAATGCTGTATTGTTTCAAAGTAGTTTGCTTGCAAGCAATTTTTATAGGAATCTAAGGCATGTTTAAGAATCTGTCAATAACATTCCACAAGAAAACAATAGACATTTGTTGTAGAAATTCAGTCATTCTCGTGGACTGATTCTAATCCTTTGAACCAAAAGCAAAAAGATATGATACCAGCAGACCTGTCCTGTTGATTTTAACTGTAGACAAAATAAAGCTGTTCTCGCTCAACTGTTAACCGCCATACTACTGAAATATTGATGATAAGTGATTGAACCCAGAGACCAGGCTTCTAAAGAAACCATGTTTCTGACAAGGAGACTTCTATTTGTTACTAGGATACAAAATACATCCCAGGAAAAAAAAGATCTCACTGCAGGATTTTGTAGCTTTACTCATTTACAATAAAGTGGGATATTTTTATTGAACTGGAATTATCAGGTAATTTAACCTTGAGCTTTCATTTTACTCGGTACAGTAGTTTTATTCTAGGTATGCAAATACTATGTTCTTCCATGCATTACTCATTTCACTCTGTGGTCCCAAAGTTGACTTTGGCCTAAACAGCAGCATAGCTTCTGTGTAGATAAATATCAAAAAGATGTGCATTTCCATTTTGCTGCCTTCAATATGCACTGAGAAGAGTTGGAAAATGGGAGATAATGAGCCACTCAGTAAGCCAGAAGCTTTACAGACCTATGGAAATGTAGCTCTGGAGGGGAGACTTTCCAAAGAAGTCATGTACATGAAAATCTCTTTGAGAAGAGATGCAAGTAAAAATAATTTAAGGGTACATCCAAGCGAAAATGTTTCTAAATATTTTAAGAAAAGAAAAAGGCACTCAAAGGACATAAAAGCACAGCACTTGATTTTAAAACACCCGCAAAGGGTGGCTGAGGGTGAAGCTCAGTGGTACAGTGCTTGCCTAGGACATGTGTAAGGGGCCTGGAGTCCTTCCCAGCAGGCCTCCCCTCCCTCCTCCCATCACCATCACAAAGCTAGCAAGGAGTACTTGTATTTTCTTTTTAGTCACAGGTAAAAACAAAGCAAAAGGTGGGGAATGAAAAGTGGTGGGAAAGAAAGGCGAAACATGGCAATAAAGAAGAACAACATTGGAAGCAGAGTGATTCTAAGAAGGCAGGAGACAGGGAAAGATGGTCCGTAGGGTTCTGTGGGCAATGCCAAGAAAATATTTATTCTAGGATATACCTTAAATGACTTCTTACATATTTAAAACTAAATAAGAAACTGCATATTCTAAATGTTTTAAGAACATTTAAAAACATGTAGGAAGTTTTACTAATAAGATTAATTAACTTATTAACCATTTACTGAATGAAAGCCTACCAGGCCACCAGCAGTGTGCTCAGTTTCATACAAGCGTTATGGCATATAAAGTCAGTTGGCTCTTTGTTGGCATTTTTATCCTTGTCCTAGTGTCTGCCCCCTGACCTTTACCTTTCTCAGGTGGACATCAGAATCAGCATGTGATGAATGTGTTGAGGGTTGGGCACATCCCGCGATGGGATCATCCAAACAAGACAACGCAAAAGCCATGGGTTTATCTGAGCTCAAAATGGTTAGAAAGACATGAGACAGCAGGCAGGAGATGGGAGAAATCTTAACAGGACTTGATTTCTAGAGAAAAGAGAAATATCAGCCTGCAATGATGCCATTATAGAGTTATGATGTGACCAGTCAATTAAGCAATCCAAAAATTTAATCTCTACTGTTCATTTAATTGTGCTCTATCATTCTTTGATTTTTTTTAACTTTCTTCTTTGTTTTTCCTTTTAACAGAATTGATAAAAAAATGTCTGGAGGCCAGAGTGGATATGAACTTAGTGAAGCCAAAGCCATTCTTACTGAACTGAAATCCATCAGAAAGGCCATTAGCTCAGGAGAAAAAGAAAAACAAGATCTGATGCAGGTATGCAGCTATAAAATATCTTAAGCTAATTTACCGTTTCCCCAGAAACTTAAGGTAGAAATTCTCCAGCAGATCTAGTGTCCCTTTATTCCATCCTCCCTGTTCATACTGAATGGGCCCTGTAGAACATGGTCATAGGTTCAGACACAGCTGGCTATTGTGGAGGACAGGTTAGTTCTCAGATTCTGATGTACTTAATGAAGGAAGGCCATCACAGGGTGGGTGAGACTTGTAGCCCATATGAGGAGATTAACATCTTGATATATACCCTGAAATTCATTGGGGACTTCCTGTGGGATCCAGACAAGCAGAGTTCTTTCAACCAGAGATCCCTCAAGCCCAGGATAGATGAAAGATATGTCATTAATTCATTAGAAAATAGATGGTATCTTGGCTAAATGAGAAGCTTAGAACTTTGCAACTCGGGTGATTCCGAGGTGCCAGCTAAGGTTGGGGTGGTGAATGTTTATCCAGCTAGGGGATAGCTGTGCTGTTGAAAACTGCTGCTGGCAGTAGATCCCCTTGATATGCGGTACAGGTCTCAACTTAAGGATCTCAACTCCCCATGATCCAGCCTCACATGTAGGAAAAACAAAATAATCATTTTGAACTTCTGTGTTTATTAGATATGGTTTAATGTGTGTATGTGTTTTTTTTTAAGATCATCTCTATTCTTCCTTTTCCCTTTCTTCCATTTCATAATTATCATGAATTAAGAGTTCAAGAGTTCTTCATGTAACCTGAATGAGAGTTTATTCTGCATTTTTGGGAAATGTTCAAGCTAATGATTATCACTTGAGTTCTTAATAGAACCTATATACTTAAATACTGTATTCATCTACTTCATGTTACTTTTCAAAATGTTAGTTGAATAAAGATAACTATTTTGGGGTCCACATAATTTTTCACATTTTGAAAATTTGAAATATCAAGAAGAGGTCTCAGTAGGAAAAAAAACTAGCAATGATAGCAAATATTCCTAAGTACTGGCTTACATGTAAATAGTCAATCATCACAACTCCTAAAGGTATGAGCCTCAGTTTATAGGCAATGAGATTGTAGGATAGAAAAATTCAGTTATTTAAGGCCATTTAACTGGTAAGTAGCAGAACTAGGATGTAAACCCAGGCACTATGGCTCCCAAATGTGCGAGAGTCCTCCTCACCCTCTAGGGTTTGAACTCGGGGCCCCGGGCACTTGTCTCTGAGCATTTTTGCTCAACCAGTTGATCCATAGCTCCATTTCTAGCTTTTTGGTGTTCTCACCAATAAGAATCTCACCAGTTTTCTGCTCAGACTAGCTTTTAACTTTGATCCTCAGATCTTACCCTTTTCGTGGCAAGGATTACAGGCATGAGTCACTAGTGCTTGGCACAATGTGTGGTTTTAGCATATATATGCTAAAATACACAGATATTTGAGCATACATAAGCAAGACTTTTACATATTTTTGTTTTCCTTTTAAGTAAATTAGTAATTCTTGAAATGCACACCATAGGCCCATTTTTTAAAAAGTTCACAGATTACAGTTCAAAGCCAACCTGGGCAGAAAAGTCCATGAGACTTAAAAACCAGAGGTGGAGCTGTGATAGAGTGCTAGCCTTGAGCAAAATGCTCAGAGACAGTGTCCAGACACTGAGTTAAGCCCCACAACTGAAGAAAGAAAAAAAAAAAAGTTCAAGGGACTTGAAAATTTTACATTGGAACCTTATAATTTAACAATTTTAGGTCATATTTAATTCTTTCTGTAAACTTGAGCTCATATACATCCCAGATTAATTAAAAGATTAGATTTCTTTCTTTTTAAGACATAGAATAATTAGTAGATACCAAGATTGACAATAGAGTTGGAAGTGGCTCTAGATAACTTCTATCATTCTTTGAATATAGTTAGAATTATATTTTACATCAGACCAAGTACAATTATGTATACACACACACACACACACACACACATACCAAGTTTCACAAAAGTATTATATTCCTGCTCTTGATACTGGTAATGTATTCTCATTTTATTTTGTACTACCCTCTATTTCACTGAGAACATACTTGCTGCAAACAACCCAACTCTCTAAATGTATTGTCCTCACAGATAAGATTGAAAACCACTTTTCAATTCATAGATGGAAAAATAGAAAAGCCTTGCCTGAGATCACTGAAAAATTGCTTTCTTCTTTTATATTATATACAATTTGAAATTTCTGTGTAAGTTTTACTCCTTTTCCACATGCATGTGTCAGATAGCCCTTTGACTAGAGAAGTTAGGTAAAAATGACAGACCTGATCTCTGATATTTCTATTTATTTATGAAAAATTCAAATATCAGGGTTAAATACTAGCTCCTTTGAAGTCATAACACTGGCTTCTTGCCATTCTTATTAGTGTTACTATAGAGTTTACTTTTTTAATGTGTTAGGTAGGTTTTCTATTTTAATACTTTACTTGTGCATATCCTCCCTCTAAAGCCCAGTAAACTAGACCAGGTCTAGTGTCAGCAACACTCACATTTACTGTTGGTTATTCCCTACACCGAGTTAGCCATTGTAGATGGTGTCATGCAACAGACACATATAGGTGGACTCAACTGAGATATGGACCACTTTGTAGCAACCTGTGCACCTTACTTTCCTACTCTCTTATATTAATGTAAGCTGAGTGATCTCATGATTCTTGCCCAGATATGGAATGGTGTAAAGTGAAAGTAGGGAATTGTTTTACTATATATAAAGTGAGAGATTGCATTATGAATATTCCATATTTCCCTAATTTCCAATTACACAGAGTAAGTTCTGTATTCATGTTTTCTGTTGGTATAACAAAGTGCCCAAGATTGTGTAGCTCCATTGCTTTGGCCTCATTCTAGATGACATCGCAATAGAGGGTTGTGTATGGTATAGATCATTTCACAAGACAGACACCCAGAGAAAATCAGAGACAAATCTTGCACCTTTGTAATAAACCACTGTCTAGGAACTAACCAGGTCTCTGAGAACTATATTCATCTCTTTCATAAGTGATACAGCAATGACCTAAAAACCTTGCACCAGCATTACCTCTTTTTTTTTTTTTCCTTTTTGTAGGTGATGGGGTCTGAACTCAGCCTGGGCTCTGTCCCTCAGCTCTTCAGCTCAAGGCTAGTGCTTTACCACTTGAGCCACAGCACTTCTTCCAGCTTTTCTCTGCTTATGAGGTGCTGAGGAATCTAACTCAGGGCCTCGTACATCCGAGGCAAGCACTCTACCACTGAGCCAACTTCCCATCCCTTACCTCTTAAAAGTTCCTCTACCATTAAGCACAGGTATCTCACACCTGTAAATCTCAGCAACTCTGCAGGCAGAATTCTGAGGACTGCAGTTCAAACCCAGTCTGGGCAGGAAAGTCCATAAGACTCTTATCTCATTAACAATCAGAAAACTGGAAGTGGAGCTGTGGCTCAAAGTGGTAGAGTGCTAGCCTTGAGCAGAAAGAGCTCAGGGACAGCACCCAGGTCCTAAGTGCAAGCCCCAGGCCAAAAAAAAAAAGTTTCTCTACCTCTGAATATTGTCACACTGAGAGCTAATCTTCTAGTACATTTACTTTTGGGAGATCCATATAAACCATATATATTTTTAAAAAAGATTTTCCACAGATTCCTGTGGAAACAGAAACTTACTGGGAATGTGGCTCATGTGGTAGAGTGCCTGCCAACCAATTGTGAGATCCCACATTCAATGCCAGTGCTGCTAAAACAAAAACCAAAAAAGACCAAATGAAATAGGGACTTCTTGATGACATTTTTGGAAATAAGAAATGTAAATATTAGACCTGAAGATACTAAAGTGCACAAGAAAATGCTATCTGGAGAAGCAACCTGTTTAATATGACCTCACTTCCAAAGTCACATATGTATATGGAAAAATACCTGAAACAAAAGAATTGTTTTTCCAATTGAGATGAGCTCATTCTCCATTTAGTTTTTTGTGGTGGGGAAGGGTATCCTTTGTATACGTTAAGGTTTATGGAATACTTTATGTTTTCTGGACAGAGTCTGGCTAAGCTGCAGGAGCGGTTTCATTTGGATCAGAACATTGGCACCTCTGAGCCAGATTTGAGATCCAGTCCTGTGCAGTCTCATTTATCTGTCTCCAGACAGACACTTGATGCTGGGTCGCAAACAAGCATTTCTGGAGATGTAAGTTGTCTGTGCTATTCATTGGCCTGATGTTGAACTTGATGGGCTTTAATAATAGTGTGGATGTTGAATTGAACAGGAGCTAGACTGTGTATATTCAGCATTTCTTTCTTGTTAAGATTGACTTAAAAAAAAATCACAGCCTTTTCTGTGAGGGTGCCACACATACCAAGATTTGTTTCTATGAAGAGCAACAGCATTTCTTTTAACTTTTTCCTATTGAGTTTGGAGCTTTGGAAATTTAGGTTATTTCAAATAAACATTAAGGCTAATGAGAAAAAGAAATATATGGCTTTTACCGCTAACAAGAAAAGTTGCTTTTATAAGTTTAAAGTTGATTAAAGTGTTATTTGTGATTTGTAGCTGACATTTGAGAGCATTTAATGTGATTTGAATATTAACTATTTTGCCTTCTCCCTTGTGAAATGCTATTAGCAAGCTTTAAAAAAAGTAAGTTCTCAATTCTTTTGTATTCTATACTTCTTTGAAGTATGTGCTATGAAAGCAAGACAGGTAGATATTTACAGCAAACTTACCCACTTGAATATTTTTGAGGTTTAGTTTATATTTTGTACAGTGTAAAGCCAAATGATGGAAATTTTTTGCTCATAAAAGACAAATCAGTTCCAGTTTATAAATTTTATTAACTGTATGCCCTTCATAAACTCTTAGATACCAGACACATTTACCTGTTATTTTTGTCTTGAATTTAATTTGTCGAGAAAGTGCCATTAAAGTCTCTGAAAAGCAGACAAGCTGGAACTGAAAGAAATGTTTTGCCCCCACTGAGCCTGGAAAGTAAGCGCCTTCTAAAACTGGTGCTTTCCCATTTCACTGCCATTTTCTTGAGCTTTTCAATTACTTGCACTTCCTAGAAACAAAAGCAGTTTACTTCATTCATTAGCAGAGTTAATTGACTTTTCTTTTTCCTTTTGTTTTTACTAGATTGGAGTGAGAAGTAGATCAAATTTAGCCGAAAAGGTCAGGCTGAGCCTACAGTATGAAGAAGCCAAAAGAAGGTAAGAACACAGAGTGCTGTTCTGTTCAGAGTCTGTAGGCTTCGACAGTTTCTTCAGAATGAATCTCCATTCTGGTGGTGACATCTGCTGGGCACTTCCCACATGTCTCCCAAAGGTTAGCCTGGGGTGGTGGCTTTGTAGCAGGGAAGGATTGCTTTCCCTCTTTTTCTTTCCTTCCCCTTCCTTCAAAGCTTAAGAATATGGAGGTTAATAAGAAGTCTGTGGGTAGGGGGAGAGTAAAATTGACCCCTTGTAGGGCGTACTTGTAATTGAAAGTAAGAAGCTTGATTTCCTCTGATGGCAATGCCATACAGAGACTTGGGGGCTCAGAACTAGAGAGCTGCTGAGGAGTTCTTTTGCCCGTGTTCTTCTGCTCACAGGGAAGTCTAACGGCTAATGTCCTCTGTGGTTACTAAGGTAGGTGTCAGTTGGCTTATGTCAGGGAGAAGGAAGGCAGATTCTTATTTCTATCCTCTACCTTCTGAACTCTTATCAGGCATATTGCTTGCATTTATGTGACTCTGATGGGGGTGAGGTCCTTATCTAGTACCCAGAACTTCAGATAGTTTTCATAATATAGCATGCCTTACTTGTTTTGAGGGAGATGTTTTAGAGATGATTTGATTATTCCAATTGAAAAGCTTAAAGAATGTTATTGGTTTGGTATTTAGGAGACACTGGGAAATCCTGCATTGTCACCCTGTAGGAGACCAAGGAATTTACCACGTTCCTTCCCATAAAGCAGGAAAAGCTCAGCTGGGAACCTCTGGAGTGTCCTGTTTTCTACAATAAGCAAAACCACTAGATAGCAAAGTATATTCACTATTACCCTGGATGTGAAAATTTTAAAGTAATTGCCTATAGTTCTTAGAGATTATCTAGCTTTATCAAAGTAAAATGAATACAATATTTGCCTGTATATAGCCTACATTTCTAATGTTAGTTGATTCTACAGTTTATTAAAAGAAACCGAAGCTTCAGTTCACAAATAATTAACCACATGACCTTAGGCAAGTCAGTTAGTCACTCTGAACAAGTTTACTTAGCCAATTTTAATGTCTTTAAGTTTTTTTTCTAGTAGACTTTAAATGTCTTAAAGGTAGGAAAAAAAGTATTTTATTTCCTTATCAGGGCCCAGACTTCAGTAGGATTTTGCCTTTAGTAAGTGGTGGGGGCTGATCTGTGGTTTGGGGTCCGGTGATGTACAGATTATTCATGGATGCTGCTTTGGTTCTCTTGATATTAGCAGAGCAACTTTTTCGCTGCCACACCTTCTTGGTTCTACCAAGGAGTTTTTCCTGAAGATGAATGGCAAAAACTCAGAATAAATCCTGAAAACCCATGCCTTGTGCCCCTGGGTTCTTCCTGGCTTGGTTCTGTCTGGTCCCTTGGGCCAGCTTTTGTTAGTCTGTGATTGCTAACAGGTAATACCACCTAGAATTACAGCACATGTCTCTTTCTTGGAAGTCTCCGCATTCTGCTCCTCAGATGTATGATGTTCTTTCTGCAATAAAAGTTCAATACCTCCTTGATTTCTGATCACCGGAGTAATGAACCAGGTCCCTTGCTTTCTTGCTTACATGGTTGTTCTCAGCTCAGTTGATTAATTTGAACACATCAAAACTCAAGGCACTGATTTTCTCCCTTTTGGTTATATTACTAGACAATGTGGGGTTTGTTTTAAAGCTCCTAACTGATGCTGAGGAGAACATAACTCTTAAGGGTATGCCTATGTTAAAAATGCATTTTCCTCCTCGATTCTGAATAAGAGGTAGATTGTGTTTCTCTGAAACCTGTTTTCTCCTCTAGCCTTTGTTTTATGTGCTTAATGGAGCTAATAATATCATGCTTATTTAGCATTTTGATGATTAATTTTCCAATGCATTGAGACAGTTTGTGGTTAATGGTAAAGAATAGCTGGATAGTCCATCTGTCAAAGTGCACATGGGGGTGAAGATGAGTACGGACATCAGCAATGGAGATCAAAGGTGCCAATTTTTGTTTTCCATTTTCTTGTCTTTTACAATTTCTTCCATTGAAAAAGAAAAAAAATACCCCTTTTCTCTCAGTCTCCCATATTCTGTGTATACTGTAACAATATCCAACGTAATCATCTATTATTATATCAACATCAGTTGTGTTTATGCTACCTGGCTCTTGAGCTTTGTGGTCAAAAGAGCCATGCGTTTGTTTATTTGTTTTGTAAAGAGTAGTGATCGTCTGCACAGTGCCACCGGGCAGGTTGACTCAGTTTAAGTTCACATCAAATTGGTTAGCTCTACCATTTATTATGGAGCTCTCAGCAGGATGAAATGTAGGATCAGCCAATCACTTACCTTTGGTTATTTTCCAATTCATCCCCTCCTCTCTCTGTCACCCCCGTGGTATCGTGCCACCTGCCTGTGCTGGGTAAGGTCCACTGCGCCTGCTTCTGCACAGCTGAACAGCCAGGTACAGGGGAACATAGGTCAGAGGCAATAATGTGTAGGATGTTGGCGCAATGAGTACTTAATAAATGGTCACGGTAATCAGGGCCTTGCTAGAGAGAGACTTGCCAGTACAAGGCTAAAGGAGAATGTGGGTGTGAGGGGGCCAAGCCCTTCTCCTCTTTTCCTTGGTGACATGGAGCCTCAACTAATTGACTTTGCCTTAATGTGAGTTAACCAATCCACTGCTCTCTTCTCCATCCTCTGCCCCTGATTTGCTAAGATCTAGTCTCTGAGAATCCCTACTTTCCTAGGCGACAGTTTCTTTACCCAGAGGAACAAATTCTGCAGTAATGGCATTTCTGGCATCCTAGTTGTTGTTTCTTCATGGAAGCCTTCCCTTCTCCCATATACATTCAAGCTGCCTATACATGACCCCAGAGCACTCTGCCTCTAAAGCTTCTGTGTGCTTGACCTTCACACTTCCAACAGCTAAGGCAATGTGCTCATTCACATTGCAAAGGTAAGGACATAGAGCAGATGAAAGCTGAATGTGGGTTCAAACTAGAAACGGGAATGTGGGGCACAGCTACTCCCTGATGAGCTACAGTTGGGAGGATCTGGACTACAAGTCCTCCTCAGATTCCTCCTAGCCTGCATCTACCTTCTTCCAGAGTCCTAACTATGTGTGTATGAATCTTGTGTCTCTTTTTAGCATGGCCAACTTAAAAATTGAACTGTCGAAGTTAGATAGTGAGACCTGGCCCGGGGCGTTGGATATAGAGAAAGAGAAGCTGATGCTGATTAATGAAAAAGAAGAACTTTTGAAAGAGCTGCAGTTTGTCACTCCACAAAAGCGCACGCAAGATGAGTTGGAACGCCTGGAAGCTGAAAGGCAGCGGCTGGAGGAAGAGCTGCTGTCTGTGCGGGGTGCGCCCACCCGGGCCCTGGCCGAAAGGTTTGTTTTCCTCTGGGAACAGGGCAACCTAAAACTTATCGTTTTATCTTAGCCGATGATGTTTTCTTCTCTCTGGATTCTGAAATCTCAGTTGCATCTCCTCTGAGTGGATGGGAAACAGCCCTGAGGGACTCTCTGTAGAGCAATAAAGCACACCCTCCCAATGGCCCCCAGTATCAGTTCCTTGTGTGTGTCAGGAATGTGAAATGCCTGTGACAGATGGCCAATCACTAAAGAATGTTGACATAAGACCCAGAATGCAGTACATCGTTGACCAGGCTGATAACAATAGCTATAAACTATCGTACTCTGATAAGCCACTGAAGCTTCCTAGCCTGGATTTTATTGCTCACAAGAATGCGAAAGTTTATTGCTTTTAATTTCACGAGGAAAATGAAAGACAACTTGCTCCCTCTGATATCCTAACAGGTCACAAAATGTCCCTTGGATTTTATTTGTCAGTTGAAATGCTCCTCTGAAGCAGATGAAATGTAAACGTAAATACTCTCAAGAAAGTGTCAGTTGATCATCTGAAGAATTCAGTTGTGGCCAGGTACTCAGGCCTGTAATCCTGACTATTCACGAGGCTGAGATCTAAGGATCTCAGTTTGAAGCCAGCCCAGGCAGGAAAGTCTGTAAGACATGTATCTCCATATAACCAGTAAAAAAAACCAGAAGTGCGACTCAAGTGGTAGAGCACCATCCTTGAGTAAAAAAGCTAAGGGACATATTCTGGGCTCTGAGTTCATGCCTCAGTACTGGCACAAAAAAGAAAAGAATTCAGTTGTAAACAGATCAGCTGGCATGTTAGGAAGGGAATCTTTCTCATTGGACTAGCTTACTACTGCACTCTACTACCTTGTGTTCCAGTCTTGCTGGCTGTGTTATGGACACCTGTTTCAGAACAGACTGTTGTACCATTCAGAACCTCGGTACCATCCTCCCACCAGCAAGCATAGAGCAGCCAGTCCTGCAACATGGCCATAAAATTGATGTGGCTGTGATCTCCGGCGACCTGGAAATAAGTTTAAAATATGTAGCTATAATCCAATCTCTCCTTTTTTTTTAATCTCTTGGCTTCTTGCCCTCTAATCCCTAGTTTCAATAAACGCTTAGGTTGTGTGTCTACACAGTATCAAAACGTTTGAAAGTATGTAGGGGGGAAGGAGAGAGGAATCATTTCTGACACTCCCACTTAGGTATTTGCCTGAGAACTTGCCCCTGTCAAATTTAGTCATTTTAGTGACTGAGGAGTTAGAATGTTGATCAAGGCTATGTGGCGACAGCCTCATAGCTTTGGGGTAGCATTCTGCTACTGTCTGTAAACGTCTCATCCCGGTCCCCCCTCACCCCACTTCCCATTCCTCTGCTGCTCTGACTTCTTTGTCTAGTGGTGCTGACCAAAAGGTCTGCCTAAGGTTGATGTGTTCAAGGCCAGGTCAGGGCCCATTGAAAAGCACTAACAGGAGCTAAAAGAATGAGATGTCAAGGCTAAATGAAATGGCTTTCCCTGGGTTACCCTTGCCCATATTCATAGAATTTCAGCTTCTAGTATAAAAAATCCATAGTCATCAGTAGTAAGTATGATGAAACAGGTAGTTTTTGTGAGGTCTATGGGTACATTATTTAGCATTCAATAACATGGTAAACAGTCATTTCTTTTATGTCCATGGGGAGATTGGCTCCAGGATCCTTCCCCCGATACAAAAATCCTTGTCTAGCCCTAAAAAGAACTCTGTAATATTTATGTAATATAATATGTAATATGACAGCATTACATGTAATATTGTGATATACATGTGATATGAATAATATGCATGTAATATATACAGTGTTATATACATAACTGTAATATTTATATAATTGTATGAAATATTTGCATATTACCCACATGCATTACTTTGAATCACTTTTAGATTACTTATAATACCTAATACAAGGGCTGCCTGTGGTAGTGTATGCCTGTAATCTCAGCAACTTGGATGGGAGGATCATTATACCCAGGCAAAAAGCCAGACCTATCTCAACAAACAAGAGTACCTCTGTAATCATAACTATGTGGGAAGCATTATCATCTAGGACTAGCCCCAAAGAAAAGCAGGCAACCCTATCCAAAAAATAACTAAGCAAATAGACATGTGTCTTGAGTTGTATATTGCTTGCCTAGGAAGCATGATGCTCTGAGTTCAAATCCCAGCATGGATATATATGTGTTTTATATACACACACACATACATATTGGATATGCACAACCAGTACAAAAGCAGGTTGTTGGGTTTTTTTTTCCCCTGAATATTTTTGATCAGTGGAATTCATCAGGGTGGAAGTGGGGGTATATGTAATTGTACGCATGTCATGTTCTGCTTTGTAAAAATAGGCGACTCTGGAAGGCCCTACAGTTTGAGAAACAAAACACATACATGTTTGTTCCTTTGTTTTACTCAGCTTTTATGGGTGTGGTGTCTCGCTTGTTTTTTTTTTTTTATTAGGGATAGTTTGTTCCTAAGAGACTTTCATATTTTTGTTTGCCCGCATATAACTGTCAAGATCCTAGCAAAAACAAAACTCCAACAGTAGGTTGGGACACATCAGGAGTTGGAGCCATAAAACACTTCTCAAAGGTAGTGACGGATCTCCTGAGGCCCAGCCATGGGGTTTGTGTCATGTGGGGAATTAGCAGTGTGGACAGACTCACTAATTTATGATACTAGTGGCTTGTCTCCCAAGCAGGGAAACGTATGTTTTATTTATGAATCGTTGCCTTTCTGAGTCATTCGGCATTCCAGCAAGTGAACAGTCATTTCTAGTGTTTGTGGCCGGAGGCAAATCCCCAAATCTCTATGACAGTGAAAGGCTGAGGGACTTGGGCTCTCTTGCTTGATGGATGTAATTGCCAGCGTTGGTTGCTCAGAGCACTGTGATTCCACAACCCACCCACAGTAGCAAGCATGGGATCCTTCGTTTCCCAAGTCATGGTTTTGCTTCACTTCCCCTCATTCTGTGACTTGCTCTTATTCTTGGCCCATTATTGTTTCTTCCTCCTCCATGCGTATTTCCACCGTGCTTGTGGCTGCTACTCAGGGGTAAGTGGAACCTCAGAAGGTAGGACACCTTGGGAAGCACTCTTACTTCTCCATGTTAAGACAGGGACGCTTCTGTGGAATAGGAATCTCTGTGCAAACTTTGATTTCATCTTTGTGCCCTGTCAACACCAAATCCCTCAATCACCTCTGGGTCTCTACACAGCAACTACCAAAGAACTACTTGCTGCACTGTCCCCCATGTTCCTGTTTTCCATTTAAATTGTGATGGCTTAGTATTTCAGGAGGATGTTAGACAAGCTTCTGAGTATTTACTGGAGTGTGGCCTCTAGAGTAGTTAAATTCACATGAATTTCAGCCACCCTATGACACTGAGCCCAGTTCCTGCCCATCTATACACAACAGGAGCCTGACTATAGTGGTGAGGTCGCCACCTAGTGGTGATGAAGCACATCATCATATGATGATCATTGGAAGGATCCTCAGGTTCAAAGAGAAATTGCTATAAATGAAGTCATGCAGTGTACAACTTCCTCCACGTCTTCTATTCTTTCCTCCAGTTAGCAAAGTCTGTGCTTTTCTAGAGCTGGTAAGATTTTAGCACCATACGTTATTTTCCTACAAATTCCCGGGAGTTTGCCTTCTAATAACCACAGTGTCTTTATTATTTCTTTTTGGTGTTGGTGGCGGTGGTCAACAGGCTTGAACTCAGGGCCTGGGCACCGTGCCTGAGCTCTTTTTGCTCGAAGTTAGCACTCTACAACTTCAAGCCACAGTGTCACTTCCAATTTTATGTTTGCTAATTGGAGATAAGAGTCTCACAGACCTAACTTCCTGGGCTGGCTTTGAACTATGATCCTCAGATCCAAGCCTTCTGAGTAGCTAGAAGGATAGGCGTGAGCCACCAGTGCCCAGCTAGTATTTCATTTGAGTGTTTTTGTGAGGGCTTATGAAATGTATTTTTTAAAGTTGGTGGATAAAGGTGCCAATACCATTTATTTAATGGAACAAGGACTTTTCTCCCTAATGAATGGAACCAAATTGTCCCTTGGAGTTAAGGTCTGGGTTTAGGGGGGATCAGGTGACCCCTCTCTCCCTCAGCACCCAGGCAGGAGGGCACATAGAACCTACCAAGTGCAGTGGGAAGGAGGGCATGGAATAGCAGGACGGGGCTGAGGGATATATTTTAGGCGATGAGAATCCAGAGGCTAGAGAAGAGCTCAGGAAAATGGGTGAGGCCCCTTGAGAGGGCAGCTGCCCAGCCATTTTTGAGGATGTCTCCCTAGGGGGACACCTAGAATCAGAGGGAGACTTCCCACTGTCCCTGGACCTGGCTGGGTGGGGACATCAGGAGATCATCTCTGTGACTGCCTGTTCCTCTGTCATGCTTCTCCTGATGACACCAGTGAGGAGGAGGAAAGCTGGCAGCCGCCTTCACAGTGGGGACATGTGAACAAGAGCTTGTGTGGTCTCCTGGAGGCAGGGATGGCTTCCCACGTGGCCAGGAAAAAAACGAACGAACTTTGTATTCCAGCTTCAGGCTTGCGTATATATGAACATTCTCATGCCATACCATAGCCTCCTTTTTTTTTTTTTTTGTCTGTCATGGGGCCTGAACTCTGGGCCTGGGCACTGTCCCTCAGCTCTTCAGCTCAAGGCTGGCGCTCTATCATTTGAGCCACAGCGTCCTTCCAGCTTTTTCGGCTTATATGGTGCTGAGGAGCTGAACTCAGGGCCTCATACATGTGAGGCAAGCACTCTACCACTGAGCCACCTTCCCAGCCTCCACAGCCTCCTTAAAATATAACCAGAAGCCTTTATTTTATCTTAATAAAAGCAATATTTAGGGTGTTTTTTGTTTGTTTGTTTGCTGGTCCTGAGGCTTGAACTCCAGGCCTAGGCACTGTTCCGGAGCTTCTTTGTGCTCAAGGCTAGCCCTCTATCACTTGAGCCACAGTGCCACTTCTGGCTTTTTAAAGTAATTTATTTGAGATGACTCTCACGGAGGGGCTGGGAAGGTGGCTCAGTGGTAGAGCGCTTGCCTTGCATGCTCGAGGCCCTGGGTTCGATTCCTCAGCACCACATAAGAAAAAAGCCGGAAGTGGCACTGTGGCTCAAGTGGTAGAGCACTAGCCTTGAGCTGAAGAGCTGAGGGACAGTGCCCAGGCCCAGAGTTCAGGCCCCACGACTGGATCCCCCCAAAACAAAACAAAAGACTGTCACGGAGACTTTGCTGTCTGGGGAGGCCTCAAACCTCGATCTTCAGATGTCAGCCTCCTGAATAGCTAGGATTACAGGCCTGAGCCACTGGTGGTGCCTGGTTGTAATATTTAGTTTTAAAGCTCACATATTTCTCTTGGAGCTGGGAATGTAGCTTAGTTGTAGAGTACCTGCCTAGCATGCATAAACCTTTGGTTCGATTCCTCAGTACCACATAAACAGAAAAAAAAACCCAGAAATGGCACTGTGGCTGAAGTGGTAGAGGGTTAGTTTTGAGCAAAAGAAGCTCAGGGACAGTGCGCAGGCCCTGAGTTCAAGTCTCAGGACTGGCATAAAAAAAAAGAATATTTCTCTCATTTCTCCATATATCTATGCACCTTCTCAATCAGTCTTCGTCTTATTTTTTTTTAGTCTTGTTGAGATTTTGTTTATATTTGAGAGATGAAGAAAACTAAAGACTGTGCTCTTTATACAACTGTGAGTTAAGAATTTATCTGGCCTTGAAGTAGTAAAGAAAATGACAAGAATGCCTTTTTAATGAAATTGTTATTGACACATCAAAGGGATAGATTCCTATAAATAAAACATGAGCATATTTCCTTATTACCTAAGACATACATAAAATTTCAAAGAGGCTGGCAATCAGGGGCATTTATTTTTCTTTAAACCAAAGTGGCTAATTTTTCTATCGCCATGGTGCAGGGTGTGTTGAGGCTTTGAACAAGAACAGTGTGGTTTTATTGTCTGTATAGCACTTTCTGGTACATTATGGTTAGACTCCCCTGCGTGTCTTATCAAGTAGGTACAGGAGGATGATATTCACCATTTTACAGATGAGAAAGGTGAGACTTTTGAAGCTGGGACTTATCAAGGATATGGGGACAGACGGCTTGCAAGCAGCAAGTGCAGGCCTGGAACCGTGGTGCCCTCTCCACATCCAAGTGTTACCCCTGTGACAAGGGAGTGGCTTGCTCCAACCTGTCTTACAACCCCTCATGCTTCACACTACTTAACGCAGGTTCTTAAGTTGTGCCTTGGTTGCTTGATCTAGTTTTCAACGAGTTAGTTTCCACAATAAAACATCATAATAATCTTAACAACAAAAAAAGCTCAAAAGCTTTTGCAGTTGAATATGTATAAAATTTTATGATAAGCTAGAGCAGGTGAGGAGATGGCAGGTAGTGAGAAAAGTCACGTTGAAGTCTTCTTGCTTAAATGCTTAAATCCTCTCTCCCTCTCCCCTTCCCTCTCTTTCCAATTGTACTGATATGGAATTGAACTCAGGGCCTTGTACCTTCTTGGCAGGCACTTCCTGCCATTTAAGCTATACTCCCCAGCCCTTTCGCTTTTCTTAATGAGACAGGGTCTCGCTTTTCACCCAGAGAAATACTTGGACCTCAATCCTCCTATCCTTACCTCCAACATGGCTGGGATTACAGGCATGAACTCTCATACCCTGGGAATCTTACTAATTTTTGGCCCAGGCAGGCCTTAAACCATCATCTTCCCAGTCTCTACTTCCTAAGTAGAAAGGACTAGAGGAATTCCATTCCTGGCCCTCTAATCTTTGTTAATCACTAAAATTCTCATAAAATCAGGATTACGAAGTTTTTATCATCGAGTAGTACTTTGAGATGGTTGTTGCTAAGTAATGGGAGGCCAAGTTAGGATCTGTGTAAGGATTCTGTAGTCTTTGAGCAGGTTGTTCCGGCCCTAGTTTTTCTCCTCACTCTTCCTTCCCTAACTCACAGACCTATAGGATACGTCACACTGCCAGCATTTTGAAGTTGCAGCAGCACGTTTCTTTTTTGAGTACTGATTAGAAAAATGGAGGTGGGGCCCAAATCTCTTCCTTGGTTTATCATGGCTGTGTGCAGTTTTGCCGGGGTCCCTTCTGGTTGTCCTCTTGTCTCTCAGTCAAGGTCATTCGGATTTCCTTTGTCATATGTAATATTTATATACCTGTCTTCTTTTGATTTTCATCTTGCATAATAATCTGTCTTTTTCTAGACTGAAATTGGAAGAGAGAAGAAAAGAGCTGCTACAGAAACTTGAAGAAACTACTAAATTAACTACTTATTTGCATTCACAACTTAAAAGGTGAGTTTTGGGGGACTCTCATCAGATGTTCAGGCACATTGTAGTTCATCTTTGGTTATTTGGTGCTTTGTTGCTGCTATTTAAAAGTAAATGGGGGCTGAGAATGTGGCTTAGTGGTAGAGTGCCTGCCTAGCATGCATGAAGCCCTGGGTTCGATTCCTCAGTACCACATAAACAGAAAAAGCCAGAAGTGGGGCTGTGGCTCAAGTGGTAGACTGCTAGCTTTGAGCAAAAGAAGCTCATGAACTGCGCCCAGGCCCTGAGTTCAAGCCTCAGGACTGGCAAAAAAAGGGGGGGGTGACTGGGAAGGTGGCTCAGTGGTAGAGCGCCTGCCTTGCATGCATGAGGCCCTGAGTTCGATTCCCCAGCACCACATAAGCAAAAAGAAAAAAGCCGGAAGTGGTGCTGTGGCTCAAGTGGTAGAGCGCTAGCCTTGAGCTGAAGAGCTGAGGGACAGTGCCCTGGCCCAGAGTTCAGGCCCCATGACCGGACCCCCCCCTGCCCCCCCCCAAAAGGCTAAAGAAATGGAAATGAAATGGTTTTGTCAGTACAGTTGATGTTACCAAACTCAGAGTCGCATGGATTGTGTTTTATGAGCCCAAGTTCATATTTGAAATATTTTATAGGAAGATGTTTTGCCTATCAGTAAGAATGTAGGAAAATATCACATTTTAGCCCTTATTCCATTGTGTGTGTGTGTGTGTGTGTGTGTGTGTATGTGTGTGTGTGTCGGTCCTAGGGCTTGAACTCAGGGCCTGGCTGTGCTGTCCCTAAGCTTTTGTGTTCTACCACTTGAGACACAGCACCACTTCTGGCTCCCCCATGTCAACAAAGAAGCCAAGTATGCCCACAACCCCAGCTAGTAGGGAGGCACCAGTAGAAGGATCATACTCTTGAGTTTGGTCCCTGGCAAAAATCAAGAAGCTGGGATTACCAGCATGAGCCACTGTTCCCAGTCCAAATCAGGCTTTTAAAGCAAAGTAACTATGTTAACACTTTGTATTAGGCATTTCTTCCCGGTGGTGGTGGTTTGTTCAATACTGTTTTAGTTGCAAAGGTCCTTCTGCGTAGATATTTAATCCTTTCTCTTTAAAAAAAAATCCTTTGGCAAAAGGGAGGTAGGTTAAGAACGACACTGGAATTGCTATGGCAAGAGTATTTTGGGAGCCATGAAGGGGATACAAGTGAGTAAAGGAAATACACGCATGTCACTACAGAAGATTCCAGTGCCCTGGCCACAGCATCCACACTTTGGCGCCACTGGTGTCCTTTCCTGTCAGGGCCTGCAGGAGCCAACAGGGGCTGTAGCTAGGGACAGATCTGACAAGTGTGCTTCCCTCCCTCAGCCTCTCGGCCAGCACGCTGTCCATGTCGTCCGGAAGCAGCCTGGGATCCCTGGCGTCCAGCCGGGGCTCCCTCAACACCTCCAGCAGAGGTTCACTCAACTCCCTCAGTTCCAGTGAGCTCTACTACAGCAGTCCAGGGGACCAGCTAGACGTGGACTATCAGTATAAACTGGACTTCCTTCTACAGGAGAAGGGCGGTTATATTCCCTCCGGACCCATCACCACCATCCATGAAAACGAGGTGGTCAAGTGCCCCAGTCAGCCTGGCCAGAGTGGACTCTGTGGGGCGACAGCCGCAGCCAACGGCCACACTCCTCCGCTGACGGAGGCCCCCAAGTCTGTGACATCCCTGTCCTCGAGGTCCTCTCTGTCCTCCTTGTCCCCCCCGGGCTCTCCTTTGGTCTTGGAAGGCACATTTCCCGCGTCTTCCCATGATGCCTCTCTCCATCAGTTCACGGCTGACTTTGAAGACTGTGAATTGAGTAGCCGTTTTGCAGACATTGGCCTCGGCGAGAGTCAGCTCCTGTTGGATTCAGACTCTGGAGGAGCATCCCAGGCTCTTTTAGAAGACAAAGGCCTTCACGAATGTGCTAGGGAGCCATTGTATGAAGGAACAGCAGGTAAGTGGAGGACCTTGATTTCAGATACTCCCGTGAACTGACTCAAGGAGAGTGATTGGGCCAAAATCTTCCATATAAACCGATGGAATCATCCCCTTCCTCCCCAGTATCAGCTGGCTGCCTTTAAGGAGTATTTATTCATATACACAGGTTTTTGTCGTCATTGGATGAACGTTTCACTCCCTATCTGATCAATCTCATCATTAGGCATCTGCTCTGTGGTCCAAGGGCCTTCAATGTGTGGGAGGTGGCCAGAACATATTTCCTGAGCACAGTCCACAACATTTCTAGTAGACTCCAGGTCTGAAATGGCAAGGCAAAGAAGAGGGTTTTCTTTCCAAAGTTGGCCTAAAACAGATTAAAACCAAGTCAATTAGCATATCAGCTAATTAGTGCCAAGGTTCAATGTTTAGATTGCTCAGGGAATTCTCTATAAATACAATTTTTGTTTCATGCCAGATTCTCCCCTTCTGTGTAAAGTTAATTTGGAGAAGTCAGCGTCCAGTGTCTGATGTTACCCTGCCACCTTCTGGCTGCATTCACAGTTGCAGTTTCTAGAAGAGATTGCGACAGATGGAGTCCTTACTCCCGTGTGTGCTCAAAGAGACACAAACAAGGAGAATTTCATTGTTTAAGAAATTGTTTTCCTCTGCGTTACAGCAGTCTTTAATGTATGAGGTATGGTTGTGAAGAGCACAGATGGTGCCCTTTTGGCAAATGATCTCCACGATGGTCTAAGAAGGATGATTATTCTTGAGCTAGCTTGCGGCAGAAAGCGAAGTAAAAGCTCTGCTGCTCCGGGGAGCCCTGTTTGGATCTGCCTGTGTCAGCAGGCCCACCACAGAGGAAACACTCCGCGCTTTCTCCAGAAGCATTTTTATTTGGATGCATGGTGCCAGGAATTCTAAGCATGAGTTGGTTAACCAGTTCAGATCTTTGAAGACAGATGAGTCCAACTTGTGCCTTTCACTTCAGCTACTGAAACTGAATTTTTTTTTTCCTTTCTTTTTTCTTTATTTTTTTGAAGCCAAAATTCTGTGTCCCGCCCAAGTCCTGGGACGGAGTTGGGGCTTTTTGTATGGTTGTCATACCCTCTCCTCCCATTGGGGAAGCACCAAAGCTCCTAAATATTGTCACTGAAATGATCGGCCACAGAGTAAAGAAGCACAGGAGAGATAGGGGCACCGCAGCATCACCAAACAGGAAGCCACCTGGAGCCTGACCTCTGCCTCTGGGAAGAAGGGTGGTGGGTTGCATGCTGTCTTTGGAGTCAGCCACATTTCCACCAGGTTGTGTTTGCTACTCTGGTTGGCTGTTTTTGGCAGGCATATTAGCCATGATGCATGGAAAGCATCTGAGCACATCTAGTGCACTTACTTGGCTCATGGTATTTGTTCATGACTATGTGGTCAAGATGATGATGATGATGATGATAACTAAAACAAACGCTCCTAAGCTTAGTTACTTCCACTGCAAGTTGAGCAAGACAGGGAAGCTAAGCTTCTTGCTTAGGCTTGCATGCCAACCTGACATTGCCCTTCATGTATTGGAAATATTCTCTAGTGACAACTTCTTAACATCTCATCAGCACGGAGAGCCCAGTATGTAAGGCTGACTGCTGGAGAAGGGGAGAGAGGATGAAAACAACAACACCACCAAATCACACAAAGGGCTGTGTCCCCCACCTAAGTGAGCCCAGTCATGCAGGCATCTCTGCTTGGCTAGTGTCTGACTCTTCACACTTGGGTCTCCACTATGTTTGTCAGTGAGTTTGCAGCTTAGCATAGGAATCTTGGAAACTTGGGAGAGATCATTTTTAACTTGTTAGATGTTATAAGATTGTTGTTGAAAAGTTTCTCAAGACCCCAGGGGATGGTTCAGTGGTAGACTTGTCACTAGACAAGTCTAGGTAACCTTGCAGGCATATGTAGTCTTGGATTGGATCTGTAGCACTATGAAAAAACAAAGAGAAAAGTTCACCTTAAGGAAAAATACACTCACGTACAAATAGTATCCAGTTTCATATTCACAAAGAACGGAAAGCATATATTGAATTATAAAGCCTACTTCTCTTCTGTTGACACTCATCAGTCTCTTCAAGGGATATCTGCTTTCTCTTTGGAATGGGTGGCTGTTTGTAAGGGACATTGTCCCCCCCAACAATGTCTGTCTGTCTGTCTCTGTCCCCCCCATCTCTCTGTCTGTCTGTCTGTCTGTCTCTCTCTCTCATGCTCTAAAGACTGACACAGGTAAGTTGAGTCGTTTTTGTATAAATTTTGTTCCTCAGCACCAGTCCCTGCTGGATGACAGAAACCAAGTTGAAATAACTATGAAGTCTTTTCCACAGTCAGTCTCTGTCATTGTCAAAGTCAATTTCAGGCTGCTGTAGTTATTCCTGGGGGTAATCAATAAATCATGTCATCACCTTCACCCCTCACAAAGGGGGGTGGGCGGAGAGAAGGTACTTCATCATCAAGAAAAAGCATTCCCACTGCCAGAAATAAAAGGGAAAATGCAGCAATCAATCCTGTAATCTGAAGCCTTAAAACTTAAACATCTTAACAAGATGTAAAGTCACGACTCAGAGGGGGGCTGAAATGCATAGCAATACAGCTCCTCTGGCTCACTCGCTGGAGGATGAAAGGAACTCCACAGGCTTGCAGCTTATTACAGTACAGAGCACAGCTTTAAATGAATGCTCCTTGCTCACTGCAGGACGCTGGGGTATGAATATGAGCTAGAGATAAAAGTCAAGTGGTAGTTGGTGCTAAAGATTCTGTAGCACCAGAAGTTTTAAAACCGTAGTAGCTGGTGAGGAATTTCTGTAAGTCAAAGATGGTATTCTCTTTAATTTTTGCTAGAGTAGTAACACTGTTAAGAATATGGCATGTAGAGAGAGGCTGAGAGTAAACACATGGAAATTCCCTTTCCACAGTGTGACTAGAAGCCCTGTTCCTAATCTACAGTAGCTCTCTATATGAGGGAAGCTCATCGTTTCTTCCCTTAAGTGTATAGTAGTTTGTACCTGCTTGAAGGAAAGAGGCTAGGGACCCTAGGGACCAGGGAGAAGTTATATCACTTCCCTAAAAGTATTTCAGGACAAAAACAAAAACCCAAACCGAAAAACAAATTGTGTACATTTCCAAATAGCAACTGACATTAATTGTCATCTCAGGAATCTCGTAAGTCAATGTCTTGACATGTCCACACCTGTTGATGTAAGAAGTAACATCCTTGACTCAGAAGAATGTTCTTTGGACTTCTCACAACTAAACTACTTCTGTATTTGTATGCTGTTTCTAAGAATAAACTAATGAATGCTATCACTTTCCCCTCCTAGATATGGAAAAATCATTACCAAAAAGAAGAATTCACATACCTGGGGAGAAACCCGCTTGTGTGTCGGCTGCCGTATCGGATGAGTCTGTGGCTGGAGACAGCGGCGTCTATGAAGCCTCCTTGAAGCAGTAAGACCCAGCTTTTTGCTTTTAGCTCCCTGGTAGGCCTCACAGCCAGGCCAGAGCATTATGTGTTGTAAACATGCCATTCATTTGTCTACCCTTTACATAGGACTTAGAAAGGTGTGCCAGAATATTCCAGTATGCAGAAACATAGTACAGCCATTTGAACTGAACAATAAGTAGACTGTTGTAGCTGACAGTTGTTAAGATGTAGAAACCACTTTTGTGGGAGTGTTGCAGTGATTTACCAGAGCCTGTTTAGGACAAGAAGCTTATTGTATATAATGCTGAAAGCCGGTGTCTCTGAGGCTGTAGTGTAATCCTAGTAGGGCTTTGGAAAGTTGGACCTCCAGGAAGTTTGATCTCCAGGAAGCTCAAAGGCAGATTCATGAAGAGGTAAAGAAATCTCCGGAAGAAGTAAGCTGTTACTAAGAAGTAAGCTGTTACTAAGGTCATTTCCATTGGGCCAGAAGAGGAGTGTGTTGATTCGAAATCATTGAGTGGCAAACACCAACCATTACAATGGATATTCCCATTCATTGATGGTTCACCTCCTCCCTATCCACAGGCCTGGTGAAATTGAAGATGTTCCCTATAGTGAAGAGGATGTTGCCATTGTGGAGACTGCCCAGGTGCAGATAGGACTCAGGTAAAGTGATGTACATGGGGAGAGGGGACAGCTTTAGAAATTGGTGTCCAGTGAATGGCATGTGGTTACTCCTTATTTCAATTAGCTTCTCTTTTGACAGATACGATGCAAAAAGCTCAAGTTTCATGGTGATTATAGCACAACTCCGAAATCTTCATGCCTTCTTGATACCTCATACTTCAAAAGTGTAAGTAAAAAAAAATCACTGAAAAAGAAATTGGGGGATTTAAAAATTTTTTCCTATAAGATATTTTTATACTGTGATCAAGCAGTTCATCAAAATGAAGATATGGGAAAGACATAGCAGGTTGTTCATGTCTAAGTCAACAGTAGATAAATGAGGAGGAGAAGAAAATGTGAGAAAGACAAATTAGATTTGGGGCCAACTGATTCATTATTAAAGATGAATTCAACTGAATCATTTTTAAGAATATGAGTCAAAAACTGGATTTTAGTGAGACCAGCAAAGAAAGAAGGCATGGTATTGCACTGGATAGATTAACTTACAGAGAACCTTTCATCTTAGACTGGTCTGAAATTTAAAACACCCATCAGAAGTCCTCAGGTAAGACTGGTTTTGTTAGGTCCAACTGGGAAAAACGGCCCCTTCCCTTTGTTTTCTCTCCGTGTGAAACTGCAGGTAGACCTCCTTGGTTCTCTCCCACAGTCCCCACCCTGTACCTATAACCCAGGGAACTGGTCACTGCATACCTGGGGACAGTGGAAGGTCTCCCAGGCTCTGAGGTCACTTCCTCATCTGCTGTGGCCACACCTCCCTCTCACCCTTCCCTATATAATCTGTCAGCCATTAGTTCCAGTGGCCACAAGCTACTCGAGTGCAGCCTGGCAATTTGACTCTCCTAAATCAACTCTTTTCTGCCTGGAGCACATGGACGTCTCCTGTCCACAGTCCTTACCTCTGGTGCCAAAATCTGGGAGGAGATAGTGACAGGAGTTGCTGGGTCCTCTCCACTTCTCTTTCCAAGGGTCAATCCTCCATCCGCCTCCTGGCGGCCCCTCCTCAGACCCAAACTGCCGAAGGAACCCCATGTCAGACCTTGCGCCTATGCACCCATTACACAGTCTCTTGTCTCCATCTGGTGAGTGACTCCTACCTACAGGCCCTCTGTCGCTCATTTGACATGGTGCCATGGCACAGAGATCCCCCACACCTTTTAGCCAGTCTCTTCTCAGTTTGGGGACACCTGAATCAAGAATTTGACTCTCAGCTGGAGAGACCTTGGGCAGACTGGGATGCCTTCACCTGTGCCTCCTTTCTACATCCTCACAGACTCCTCCCTCTACATCCTCACAAACATCTCCCCTTTACGCCCTCACCAGACTCCCTATAAAGGATTACAGAAGGCCAAAAAGACTCATGTTTTTTATTGCACTGAAGTCTGGCCACACACTACACCCTGCTTTAGGGTATGGCTCATCAGTTTGGCTTTCCCAATAAACTTTTCTGACTGAAGCATGTGGCAGTCCCCTTCAGCAACCCTTACAGCTTGATAGTACTAATATACTTCCCCTCTCCAATACTGTGATACTAGAATGTGTCATCAGTAGCCAAAATGCTACTGTAAAGTAAATGAAGGAGAAGACAGTCTAGTAGAAAACCACAGGATACCCCCAAGAACTCATATTGTGAGGTTGCCCAGTTTTCTACCTCAACACCATCAATCACAATCACTTAGCTCAGAGTGGAGAACAGAATACCTTCTGCAGGTGTGGTAACTCCCAAAATAGCTTAAGACAATAGTAGCCCTCAACCAGCTGGTTGTACGGAATGTGCCTCTGCTCCCTAGTGGTGTAGTTACTTGTCTATCTGATTTGAATTTTCCCCCAAACACTTAGCCACGTTTTCCTAAATCCATGTGTGAAAGCCTTGGCCTAAATAATGACACTGCAGTAAGTAGCAATGCATATAGAATATACCCAAGTGTTCTTCTCCCCTCCAACTTCAAACTTCATTTTTGGTTGATTATAACAAGCAGAGTTGGTGTTTGTGTTGATTGACAGTATGGCTTGCCTGATTCCCATGTGGAGAGACCTCTCCTTCAGCAGAGCAAGAAGAAAAGCACCCCTGCTTGATTAGCCTCCTCTGCCTTTGCCTTGAAATCACTGAAACTGGCTCATATTTGACCCAGAAGCATTTTGAGATGACACTAAGGGCTAATTTACTGATACAAATTACTCCTACAGTCTGGAGAAACAGAAATTTCCTTCCCTCCATTCTAACTTTCAATAAACTTGTTTCCTCATGAAAACAGAATAATTTCCTTTTAAAGACATTGTTCTGCTGAATTTCCAGCTTCCCAGGGGCAACAAGCTGTGTCTTAGTAAGGCTTTAAGTCTACAACATTGACCCAAGGCCCACAAGGTCTTTAAATACTGATTTTTATAATTAATAGTGATGTAAAATAAAAAATAATATGACATCCCAGTTCTGCATTTGAATTTACAGTTTTTCTAATTAGAATATGAATTATATAAACCTAGAAATGGGGGTAGGGAGAAAGACTGGATGCTGTTCTCTTACTGAAATTAAAAGGAAAATACCTCATGCTATTTCCAAGAATTGTGAGTCTTCATATATAATGGGTGCTCAGAAAGAGCATTAGAAGTTACTGTTCTTCTGTAACTTTGGATTTTACAAAGCAGGAGATTCTGAAGAGTTTGTTACACCTGTGAGTGCAAAGGTGCTAGAAAATGATATTTTTGAACTACTGTTGCATCTGTTTCAGGCCTTGTTATAATCTGCTATGCAGCCTTTCTTTTCTCTAGTAGGGTAATGTATTTCATTCCATTCCTGGGAAGTGGTCATTGGCAATCCTCACAAGGAGGATTCTTTAGGATAAGTCACCAGTGTCTACTTAGTGTGTTCTCATGTTCCCAGACTCAGAGATTACATATTTGGGAATTGGCTATACCTGGGGCAGGTGGGATGTTTAATCTGCATGTCCCCATGGACCTTCTTCCTCCTCTCTTTCCCATCATGTGCCTGTGCTGAAGTCCCATGGCAAGTGGCAGACTGGGCTGTCTCATGCTCAGGGGCACAGTCACTAAGGCAGGTTAAGAACAGGGCATCTACACCTGAACACAGACCCATTATATAGCAGCACTTTTGGTTGATAATGAACTCACAGTTCTTTGATTTAGCTCTGCATCCACTGTAATTGAAGTGCTTATGAAATTCATTCTGCTCTTGCTCTTGGCAGGTATTGTAGAGTTGCTGTCCTTCCCTCCTCAGCGGATGTCAGCTGTCTGTTTCGAACAAAAGTCCATGCACCAACAGAATCTGTGTTGTTCAATGACGTGTTCAGAGTGGCTATTTCCCAAACAGCCTTGCAGCAGAAGACACTGCGAGTTGACCTTTGCTCCGTCAGTAAACACCGCAGGGAAGAATGCCTGGTAGGGGCCTTCAGAGTTACCGTCATCATAGAACACTCAGTGCTCAGTGTTCTGAGTGAGAATATGTTTTCTACTAGCTGTCTTGCTAGCCTTGAAACCACCCCAGACCTTCCAACACCTTGGGACACAACCAATAGTGGTTTCACTTTTTTTTTTTCTGAAGGAATAACTTTTTCTCATATTTCAGATTTTTTAAGACTTCTTATAAACTCTGATGTTCTATAAAGCTGTGTTCCATTTCTACTATTCCATGAGCACAGAAGAATCTTTTTTTATGACCATCACTTTACAGAGTGTGCTTATTAGTCATAAAGCTACGCCTTGTGCCTCATGTTCTGTCTATATTATCTCCTCTAATCCTCAGGACAATCTGGGGAAAGATTGATTGTGTAAGGGGTGATTATCCCCTTTTCAGATAAAGAGCTGCTTAGAGAGGGTCACACAGCTAATGAATGATGGAGCCAGATATCCAAAAGACATCCCACACGTAATTCACTGCTACACATTAAAATTAAGCATGACAGTTGATAGCTCCCTTTTGTAGTTTCTTTTCCTGGAGCTTCCGGGAAGAAGCACAGCAACTTTTCTCTGTGGTCAGTAGGAAACACATTTCATGATGAGCAAAAGTAAGAGGATGATAGTTTTCTCCTTTTTCTTTCACCGTGTATGGGTACACATATGCATGTGCATGCCAGTATAGGGATTGAACACAGTATCTCACGCTCTCACCTAGATTTTTTTTTCTACTCAAGGATAGGACTCTACCACTTGAGGCAGACCTTCACTTCTGGCTTTCTGCTGGTTAATTAGAGATAAAATTCTCACAAACTTTTCTACCCAAACTGGCTTTGAATCATTATATCCTCTGATATCAGACTTTTGAGCAGCTTAGCTTTCAGATGTGAGCCATCAGCTCCCTGCTTCCAGCTTCTTGTTTTTTCTAAAAAATAAAGTGTATGGTAATACTTGGTAATAAAGTTAGAAGGAAGCAAAGACTTGTTATGCTACGTAAAGGCTTTATTATATAATAAGCTATGTTAATTGATAACCTTTAAAAATAGTATGGTAGAATTTAGATTCTGGCTATGCATGATCTGGTGGAATATGAAAGCCTTTCACATGTACCTCCTTTAGCACTTATGTATCCAAAGAAATTTTTTGTTGATTTCTCATCTAAGATCCAAAGGAGAGTTTTCATTCATTTAAATTTTTTTGGTGGATGTTTTACTATGAGTAATAATTACTATCATAAAAAAAACTATAGTGGAAGCTTAGTCATTTTTAAAAAGTTTTAAACTTGGCTGGGAAAAATTTTAAACGTAGTGGTAGAGTCCATGCCTAGCATGCATGAAATGCGTGAAATGCCCTGGGTTCGGTTCCTCAGTACCACATAAACAGAAAAAGCCAGAAGTAAAGATGTGGCTCGTATGGTAGAGTGCTATCCTTAAGCAAAAGAAGTGGGGCTGAGCAGGTGGCTCAGTGGTAAAGCGCTTGCCTTGCATGCATGAGGCCCTGGGTTCGATTCCTCAGCACCACATAAGCAGGAAAAAAAAGCCGGAAGTGGTGCTATGGCTCAAGTGGTAGCGTGCTAGCCTTGAGCTGAAGAGCTGAGGGACAGTGCCCAGGCCCAGAGTTCAGGCCCCACGACTGGACCCAAAAAAAAAAAAAAAAGCAAAAGAAGCTCAGGGACAGTGCCCAGGCCTTGAGTTCAAGCCCCAGGAGTGGCCAAAAAAGTAAACTTAATTAGAAATATATTCCCATATTTCTAAAAATTAATAAGTTGCATACTTAATCATAAGATGTCAAAATCATGCTATGCAATAATCCTAGAATTGGTTTTTGGATTGGTTATTATTATTGAGTCAGAGCTAAAAATAGAAAACATCTTTTGAGTATCATTCCTACTCAAAGTCAGACTTACCCAACAATCTTTATCATATCAAAGGGAATAAATTCTAACTTAACCATTTGATTTCTCTCTCTGTTTTTGTTTTTGATTGTCTTTTCTTCATTTTCTTATTTTCCATAGGCTGGAACTCAGATTAGCCTGGCTGACTTGCCATTTTCCAATGAGATTTTCACACTGTGGTATAATTTGCTTCCTTCCAAGCAAATGCCTTGTAAAAAGAATGAAGAAGAAAACGAAGACTCTGTATTCCAATCAAACCAGCCGGTGGTAGATTCCATAGACTTGGTGAGTCAGAATTTAGAGAACAAAATCATTAAAGCATAATAAAGTGATATGAAATATAGAGTATTGACAGACCAGCAGGCTTTTGTTCACTTTCATCTTCCTTTTCTCCTTTAGCCTTTGATTCCAAAGGAAAAGAGAAAGATAGTTTCCATCATTGCTTCAAATATGATTTACAAAAGAATCACTGTGTACTGCCTTCATTGTTTTCAATTACCATAGACAACCTTTTGATTTGAATTTATATTTTTGTATATTGTGTTCACATATTTGGTTTCTGCTGTTAGTTTATACATTTGATACTTCTTTTGTATTCTTTCTCAGGGGTGGTAGTGGGGATTGTACTCAGGATCTTATACTTGCTAGGTAGCCACTGTACCACTTGAGCCATACTGTAGTCCTGTTGATTGTAGTTGTTTTTCAGATTGAGATGTCCAGAAACAGCCACATGTTTTGATAGGGCTAGCATTGAACTTGTACATTATCCGAGAGGATATGGTCATCCTAACATTTTTCACAGTTTTCTCATCCATGTATGTGGGATATTCTTGTCCATTTATTTCAGTTTTTCCTAACTTATTTCACCCATGTTTTCAGAGTCCAAATTTTCATTGCTCCTTTTAAGCTAATTCCTAAGTATTTTTTCCTATATGATATTATTGTGAGACTTTTTATTACTTGTATTTACAGATGGTTCATTGTACAACTGATTGCCTGTTTATCTTGTATCCTATAACCTTCAAATTAAGAACTTGTTTCTTATTTTGAGTTGATTTCAGTGGAGTTCTTAGGATATTTTGCAAGTAGAGATAATTTTACTTCCTCATTTCTAACTTTTACATTTAATTCTTTTTTGTGTGTTTTTTTTTTTTGCATATTAGCCCTCTATAGAATTTCCAATACAATATTGAAAATAAATAGTTCAGAGAGATACTCTTCTCTTATTTCTGATTTAGGGAGGAATTTTTCACTATTAGTTTTTGCTGTGAGTTTTTCATAGATAACCTTTTTTCAGGCTGAAATAACCTTTTCATAGTATACTGAGTTTTTCATCATTAAAATAAGCTGTTGGATCTTTTTTCTACATCTACTAAGGTGGTCATGTGGTTCTTGTCTTTCATTCAAATGATACAGATGTTAAATGACTCTTACATTCCTAGGATAAATCCAACTTGGTTTGGTGTGTATTTTTTGTGTGTTTGTAATTCAGTTTGCTAATATTGTTGAGCATTTGTGTCTGTAGTCTTTGCAATGTCTTTGACTCTGGTTTTTGACAGCAGGATAATTCTGGCCTCATGAAATGAGTTAAGAACCATTTTCTTCCTTTCTAAACCTTTTGGAGAAGTTTGGAAAATTGGTAGTATATTAATTAAATGTTTTGTATTCAAGTGAAGCCCACTCACTGGGTCTGGACTTTTTCTTGCTTAAAGTCTTTTTGTTTACAAACTCAGTCTCATTACTGATCTGAATCTCTCAAAAATGTTGTTCTCAAGTCAGTTTCTATACTTGTCTCTTAAAGAATTTGTCCAAGCCGGGCGCTGGTGGCTCACACCTGTAATCCTAGCTGCTCAGGAGGCTGAGATCTGAGGATCACGGTTCAAAGCCAGCCCGGGCAGGAGAGACTGTGAGACTCCCATCTCCAATAAACCACCAGAAAACCGGAAGTGGCACTGTAGCTCAAGTGGTAGAGCACTCGCCTTGAGCTGAAGAGCTGAGGGACAGTGCCCAGGCCCAGAGTTCAAGCCCCACGACCGACAAAAAAAAAAAAAAGAATTTGTCCATTAAAGCCAGATACCTAATTTGTTGATTTACAATTTCATAATATTATCGCATGGTAAAGTTAATAGATATGCCCTCTTCCTTTCTTTTCTTCTAATTGCTTTTGGTTTAGTTTTCTCTTTCCACATTTTTCTCCTCTTCTAAGATGTCCCCTTTCTTGTTATTCTCTTCCTCATTTTTTTTATTGTAAAGATACTATACAGAGGGTTACAGTTACATGAGTGAGGTAATGAGTACACTTCCTCTTGAACATTGCTACCCCCTCCATTGTTTTCCCCCTACCCTCCCTCCCTTCCCCGAGGTTCTTTTTTTTTTTTTAATTGTGATTAAGTGATTACATAATTTCCGGAAATTCACAGTATTGTGGAATAATGATGCTCATTTAAAGTCACAAGTTCATTCTAACTTTCCTGGAGCAAATTGTCTATCACAGTCTGTAACATATAACGGTGTTCACATGTTATACACCATATATGTGAGCAGCAGCGTGGGGATATTTAGTAGTGGTTCAACCAGATGAGTGGGAGTTCTTTGTTTCTTAAGTCCTGTTAGTTTTGTCGTATCACCTAACATTTTGGATTTAGCATCCACTTATCAGGGAGACCATGTACCGTTTGTCTCTTCGTTCTTGGCTTACCTCGCTTAACATGATTCCTTCTAGCTCCATCCATTTCCCTGCAAATGCCATTATTTTGTCATTTCTAATGGCTGCATAATATTCCATTGTGTATAGATACCACAATTTTTGGATCCATTCATCTGTGGTGGGGCATCTGGGTTGTTTCCATATCCTAGCTATTGTGAACAGTGCTGCAATAAACATGGAGGTGCACGTGTCCTTGTATATTGGTTCCTGTTGTTCAGGGTAGATGCCTAGAAGTGGTATGGCTGGGTCGTAAGGGAGGTCAATCTTTAGCTTTCTAAGGACCCTCCAGACTGCTTTCCAAAGTGGTTGTATAAGTGTACATTCCCACCAGCAGTGTAATAGGGTTCCTCGTTCTCCACATCCCCTCCAGCATTTGTCGTTGGCTGATTTGTGGATGTGGGACATTCTGACTGGGGTAAGGTGGTATCTCAGGGTTGTCTTTATTTGCATTTCCTTCACCACCAGGGATGATGAACATTTCCTCATGTGTTTCTTTGCCATTTTTATTTCTTCATTTGAGAAGTCCCTCTTTAGTTCCCTTGCCCATTTAGTAATTGGTTTGTTAGGTTTGCTCTTCCTCCTTTTGTGCCAGCCCTGGGGCTTGAACTCAGGGCCAGGGTGCTATCTCTGAGCTTTTTCACTTAAGGCTAAATGCTCTACTTCAACTACAACTTCACTTCTGGCTTTTTGGTAGTTAATTGGAGATAAGTGTCTCTGCACTTAAGGCTAAATGCTCTACTTCATCTACAGCTTCACTTCTGGCTTTTTGGTAGTTAATTGGAGATAAGTATCTCTGGACTTCGTTGCCGGGGCTGACTTTTAACTGCAACCATCAGATCTCAGCCTCCTAAGTAGCTAGGATTACAGGCATTAGCCATTTGTGCTCAGCTGCCTTTCTTCCTTTTTTAATATAACTGTTTACAGCTATAACTTTTCCTCTAAGCACTACTTTAGCAACTTTCCTTCTCCCTTTCTTTCTTATTTTTTTTGCAATTTAGAGTAGAAATATTTTCACACATTTGTTAACTTCTCATTTCTTTTACTTCAGTATACCAAAACATATACTTGGTAAGATTTAAGTCCTTTTGAATTTATTGAAGCTAGTTTCATGCTTTAGAGAAAAATACACAGTCTACTGTTACATGGAATATTCTATAGGTGTTTATCAGATCTCATTGATTTGTGGTGTTGTTGCATAAATGCATTTGATTGCATTTTTATCCTATTCTTAATGTAGATCTTAGTAATTCCACATACGATTTTTTTCTTCCTTTATTAAATTTACTTATCTACTTAAACCCTTTATCACTTGTCTTTGACATATCTATATTGCCAGCATTACTACTCTTATCTAGAGGCATTATAAACTACATAAAGAGTTATTTGAACATAAGCTCTGTGTATCTACAGCACTCTCTATCTTATACCTGAGAGGAATACCATGTAACTAATGAGCAGGTAGCATATACACCAGACAAAAGAGAATCCATTTTCTACAGGACAGAATAAAATAGTAAGAGAGTTCACACCCTACAGTTCATGAGTTGCTCAGTTCTGGAATTTTCCATTTAATATTTCTTGGATTGGTTGGTAACAGGTAACCAAAACTATAGCAAGCATAACCATGGATAAGGCACGACTGCTTTATATATTGTTTTGTTTCCATGGAGATAACAGCATGAATTCTTAGTAGAAACTAATCTCAACGAATTCCTTTACTTCAGTAGTTCACGAATTTTAACTTCTTTGGTGTGATTATTACAGTATATTTTAGTGACTGAAAGTTCGAATCCCATAAGACATTATTACTGATATTTCATTGACAATCAGTAGTCAGATATTCCCACATCTTTCCCATATCTAATGGAGTTTCTTTCCTTTCTGAATTGCTGTACTTCTGCATGGGTCATGTACCTTCTGCTGAACAATTCCCTTTCATATTCCTCTCAGTTGTGTTGGTATCAATTTTAGCTTCACTTGTGAAGGACAAGTATTTTGACCATTTATTCAGTTTTCTAGGTGGGCAGGTGTTCCATAAGCGTGTTATAGATACCACTTTCTGTCATCTAGTTTTCATTGATTCTGTTGAGCTACTGAAAAACAAATTTAACTTCTGGTTCTTGAAAAATAATCTTTTTATACTTTTTTAGATTTTTTTCCTAAGATTTTTTCCCCAGGAACTTTATTCTCACAAATGAATGCGGTTTTCCTTGTGTTTATGCTAGTGAAGTTTTCTATCATTTTAGTATTTTTTTTAAAGCCTATTAATTGTAAACATTTAAATACCATCTCCAAAAATCTGCGGTGTACACATCACCTATGGGTCTGCCTCTTTTGTCATTTCTTTTGGCTTTCTGTCAAGTCTTGCTGGAATGCCGGCTAGTATGAGGGAAGGTAGAGGCCCTAGATGGCATATGTCTTCCGTAGACATGCTTCTGGAAGTCAAGTTTGAGTTTGAGACAATGACCTGAATCATCTGGGGGGCTAGATTTCCAATTTTTATCTCCCCAAGACCGTAGGAGACAGCAGAAATATCTCCTTAACTGTTTGAGGCTTTTTGTTCTGCAAAGATACAGTTTAGGAGATGCACATGCCTTAGTAGGATTCTCATGTATAATATTGGGCTCACCTTACACCTCATTTCCTCTGACCCTTGGACTGCCTTGAAGTCTTGCACTTGGTGACAATCCTCTCAGATATCTGACTGACCCTGTGGCCGCAGTCCGAGGCAGCCAGACTCTTTAGCCTATGTACCTCATGCCTAGAATTGCAGATGCCAGTGTGTCAATTGTGATGGTTCTTTTCTCTCTGGGACATTAACCTTCTAGTACTGATAACCTTGGTCACTCCGCATTGCTTCACAAAATTTGGGAGTATTTATTACTTTTTGTTATATTTCATTCAGCTTTTGTATTCTCACAGTAAGAGAGTTGGGTCTGGTATAAGCTGCTTCTTCACAGCTGGAAGTATCAGCCTGCCTCTGAAGAAATTTCAAATAAGTTTCTTGGAGTATATGATATTAATTGCCATATGTTTTACATTCTTCAGGATGCAGTGTCAGCCTTACTTGCAAGAACATCAGCCGAGCTATTGGCTGTGGAACAAGAATTAGCACAAGAAGAAGAGGAGGAAACAGGGCCAGCAGAAGAGCAACAGGATCTAGAAGGAGATTGGTAAACAGCTGCTTTCTTTTGCTAGTGAGAACACATTAAGGTGTTTAGTTTCTCATGGGAAACTTTCAGGAAACGATTATAGTTTCATGTCTTAGCACTGGGATTATGAGAAACAATGTAGTTTCAAGGAGTTGTGGCTAGAGAGTTACAGGAGGTAATAGCAAGATTGTGAACAAAGTAACACATTAACCAGATTTTTTATTCTTCAAGTAATTTTTAACAATGTTTTCTAAGGTAAGACTAAGCTGTCAATTTTGAAAAATATGGTAGCTTATTGTATAGTCATAAGTAAGTTATAACTGGCTCTCTTTTTCTTTATGAGTTCATTTAGGTGGTGGTATGACACAGAAAGTAGCTTCAAATAGACATTTCAATACTTTTATCTTTTCTTGCTTCCTTCTCTGTGTCAATACTTTACCCTTTATAAAAAAACATCCAGACTAATGTGTGTGTGTGTGTGTGTGTGTGTGTGTGTATACACATACATATAGACATACAGACATACATACATACAGCGATCTGTCTTTCCTGGTTCGCACTATTTTGTAAAATCAAATTCTAATGAATGCTTCAGATTTTAAGTATATATAGTGTGTAATTTATTGGGATTAATCTTGCTATATATAGTTACTTATAATGTTTGATTGAACTACTCTTAACCCATATATTAATCTTTTGTGTATATGTAAATATGCATACATTAAACTTGTTAGAAGCCCAGAGTTTATCATAAATAACCAATCATGAACATGTAGAAAAAAGGTCTACAATAGTGATAAAAATATACAGAGACTTTTGGCATATCAAAAGTCCTAGATAATAAATAATAACAGCACTGCAGAACAAAATTATGAGAGTGATTTATAAGGTCTCACAGTGTCTTTAAATACTAAGTTTTTTTCATGTTTATAAAATACAACTTATTTCACACATATTTCAGAAAAATTCTTAGCATGTAAATAAAAGAACTTATAACTTAATCATTGCTTTTTTTCCACTTGTTTCATGGCCAGACATTTAACGAAACTAGATGGTACCATTTTTGTCTATATGCCACCAATTGCAGTTCAAGTTCAGCAGTTAGACCAGGTGCCAATGGCTTTCACCTATAATCCTACTTACTTAGGCTGATATCTGAGGATTGTAGTTCAAAGCCACCTGTGTAGAAAAGACTGTGAGACTCATCTCCAGTTAATTACCAAAAAGCCAGAAGTGGAGCTGTGGCTCAAGTGGTACAGCACTAGCCTTGAGAGACAGTACCAGGCCATGAGTTCAAGCTCCAGAATGTACATGCACACATGCCCACACAACACACATGGTTCAGCATTAGGTATCAGTGGGCAGAAAATATTTCTATACAGCAAGCATGAAACTCAACAAAGCATGAGGTATTCTGAACCATCCCAGCACTGTCTTCATATTCCAAACATAGACTGTCTTCATATTCCAAACACCATGCTTAATACCATCAGAATCTGTGCCATGGCTTCTATTAGAGATGGGATTGTGTGACATTGGGTCTTCAGGTGATTAGTAGTAACTCCTTCTATGTAGGGCTGCCTCTGCTAGATTGTGAGCACAGTCAGTAATGGTGTTTTTATCTCTAGGTGTTTATTCACTCTTAGCTGAGAGTAAGCCATTCTCTTCTATGGTTTATTTTATAGTAAATTAATAGCTCACATGAAGCTGAGTTTAAAAGAAATCAGTATTTTTAAGTGCTGAGGTTAACTTTATTTGTGATTTTAATAATACTTATATTTTAACATCTAGAAATTAGGTCAGATTTCTTAAGTCTTAAATTTTTAGTAACAGTATGGTAACTGCTCCAGGTGGCTAGAGCATAAAATGATTATTTATTCTGTGAATTTTTTTTCTTTGTTTTTTTCTTTTTTATGAGCCAAAGAAGAGCTTGAATCTATTGTTTATTTCCCAGGTTGCACTGGTTATGAAGTACTTGGCTTAAAGTGTGTTTTATTTATTTATTTATTTTTCAACATAGGTTAACAATGCTAAGAGAGGCCTCTGACAAAATTGTGGCTGAAAAAGAGACTGCAGTTAAACTGGTAAAAGGCACTAGTTGTACAGAAGACTTAAGTTCAAGCACCAATGTGCTGCAGATGAGTGAAGATAGCTGTCAGAAGGAAAAGGAGTGTGCCAAAGACTGTAGAAGTCAGCCACCGACTGGAATTCCCACCCTGGTGAATATTCCGCTCTTCTCCTGCCCTGAAACAGAAACTTCCAGGCACTGTGTAGACTCAGAGGATGCTTATCTCTTCAGGTGTAATGCTGTGTCAGGATTTTGATCCAAAAGTTGAAGGCTTATATAAGGATAGTTGCTGAGAAGCATTGTAAATGTAAATTTTTCTAAGGGGCCCAAAATTCTGATTCTTCACTTGATAAAAGAAGAAAAACAATGCTAGTTACTTTCTACCAGCATTCTGTGAATACTAATAATATTTTTAAAACTCGCCATGGTAGTGCATCCTATCATACACTGGTTATCCCAGCACTTAGGAAGTTGAGGCAGAATCACAGATTCAAAGCCAACCTCTACTCTGTAGTAAGTAAGACCCTATCAAAAAAATTTTTTAAATGGTTTTCCTGAATTTCTTGAATAATTTTCTTGACTAAATTATATCAGGGTTCAAACTTTATTTCAAGAATGAAGTAAACATTTAAGTTGATTTTGATTAGTTGGAATTCTGATTGAAATCTGTGACGATGGTGAATAACTTAGTTCAAGCACTAATACCAACCATATTAGAAAACAAGCAACTTCTCTCTTAAGTGAGGAGTGTGTTGAGGCCATTCCCAAACAGCTTAGAGTAAGTCTGTAAGCTTTGAGGATGCCGACACACAGGATGTTGGTAATGGAATTTTAAAAATGCCAGTCCTTTGGTTTTATTCTTGGGTGGGAGGTGCACGCATGTACACATGTATGGGTGTACTAGCATGTGCAAATGCTACTAGGGATTGAACATGATATTTTCCCAAACAGCATTCTTTGTAGAACCTGTTTAAGTCTAAATCTTCATTTTACATCTGACCTATTACTGTAACACCTCTATTTGTGCTTTACCTCATTGAACAGCTATCATCCTACCTACTTACTTTCTGAGAAGAACGTAGAACACCATTCTCCCATTTCTCCTCAGAAGTACTGTGTTCTATTATGCATGTCTTTCTCAAAGGGACATCCTCAGTGCTAGACAAGTTCCTGTTTAGCATCATTAGGAAAGGAGTATAAATGTACACACACAACTCTCAGTTCCAGAAAACTTGCCACCTTCTCTTTTAGGTTGATAAAGAGACAAATACTGATGAAGCAGTTCATGACAGCGTGGCAGTTCGTCCCAAAGAGCGGAGCAGCCTGAGCTCTCGACAGCATCCCTTCGTAAGGAGCAGCGTGATCGTGCGCTCGCAAACCTTTTCCCCGGGTGAACGGAGCCAGTACGTCTGCAGGGTAAGGTGACAGTGCTCAGATGAGGCACTAGGAACTTTAGCTGCCTGTCCTATCATAAGTGTCCATAGGACAATCTGACTACAGACAGTGTGGCTGAAAATGCTTGGAAATATGTGTATAGAGAATCACACGCTGAGGGTTCTTGTTGGTTTCTGTTTCCACAAATTTCATGTCCTGTTGGTTCTAATGTTATTGGTTTGGCAAGTAAGTGGAATTTAAGATCTCAGCACTAAGAATTTTTTGGATTTTTATGTTTAGAAACATTAAAGCTTCAAGTCTGTTTTGCCTACTTTTGCTCAATATCATATGTACTTCACAACATGTTCATTTTGCTGAAATGAAACTTACAAATTGGATTTTAGAACAGAAATTCTGTTTAAATACCTCTGGACCCAATCAGGCTCATAGCTCCGTGAAGAAAATTATGGGCTTTCCATTGTTTTCCAAATTCTGTTTCTAGAAGTGTTTATGATTTATAGTGAGATAGATTTCATAAATGGGTTAGAGATGCTTTTAAAAATCTGAATTTATTCATTCTAGTCAAAAATATTTGTAGATACTTTTCATTTCTGCACCTTGTAGAACTTTCATTCTTTTCAGTGAGCCAGGAATATGATGGGTAGATATCTTGGGTGAGTATCAAGGCTGTGGAAGACAGTAGCACAAGTTAAGGAGTTGAGAATGGGAAGTAGAGCCCAGAAGAGGCTTCCTTCATAATTTGACATTGAGCAGAGGGGTGAGCATGGGCTCCCTCAATCTAGACTATTCCAGAGAGCTAAACTCTCTTAACTCTGAAGGTGAGCTATAGTTAAAAGTACAGAGCATCATTTTATTTTAAACAATATATAATAACATAGCACTTTGGATAATAACTATCAAAAGGCGGTTACTGAAACGTTTTCCAGGGAAAAAAAGCTACTAAACTATAGAACGGGAAATAATGTATTTGGGGAGGATTTTCTTCAAGTAATTAACTCTTGAGCTGAGGATGTAGCTTAGTGGTGGTGGGGGATTAGTTTATATTATATGTACTTATTTTATTTGGTAAACCTCTTGATTCTCATTTCCACTGGTACTCTCTTATACAGTGACCTTTTTAAAAATATTTGTTGACAGTTAAATCGGAGTGACAGTGACAGTTCCACATTGGCTAAAAAATCACTGTTTGTGAGAAACTCCACTGAGCGGCGTAGCCTGCGTGTCAAAAGGGTATGTATGTCCTCAGTCACCTCACACCATCCCAGACCCATCCAGATTCATAAACTGCCAAGAGTAAATTCCAGAACAGTTGCATATTATTGCTCCTTGTTGTCGGACAGTATAGTCATACAAAAATACTGATGCTAAGTCAATTGGGGAGCCAGGGAGAGGATGTCCTTGAAAGGATTCGTTTGCCTATTGCTGGTTTAGAACTTGTGATATTTAAGGCTAGAAATTAGAGTACAGGGTCTCCAAAGAAGGGGCATACTAAGCCTGTTAGTGGTTTGAACACATTGCTTTTTTTCTTTTTAGAAGTTGTGAATATTAAGTAGTTATGCAAAGGTATTACAATTCCATAAATCAGGTTATGAGTACATTGCTTCCTGGACAGTGTCACCCCTTCCTTTGTTCTCTCCCCTTCCCCCCTTCCATCCCTACCCACATGTTACTTAGTTTATTTTTTACATTGTGTACACTGAATACACTAACTGCATTTATATACCCTCCCTCCCTCCATTCCTGTACCCCCCCCCCAAAAAAAAACAACTTGTTTCCATTTCCTGGTACTCCTTTTTAGAAACAGAACTTTAGTTTGAACACATTTCCAACAGTGGCTGCGCTCTCTCTGCATCACATCTGGTTCAGTGTGGGAGGAGTGGGAAGCCTGGCGCCTCCCCAAGCAAGCGCTCCTCAGAGGGACAATTACAGAGGTCATGTGTTTTCTATTTTTCTTTATTATTTTTTAGTGCAGATGTTGTAACTTGCTTAAACAGTTATTCATAGAAGGTTAAAGTTACTGTTGAGTGGGTCAAGTGTTCCTGGAGGCCAGCAACCTCTAGATCGTCTTGAAGGGAAAGTCTGATAAAATATTTAAAAGGTTGGACAGTTCAGATGGTTCACAAATTCCCGTTTACTTCCACCAGCTGAAATACTAAAAGAAGACTATTTGTTTGCTATTCCCATTCTAGCTTAAGATATGTTACTCGATAAGCACAGAACACGGTGTGGTGAACTCTGTCGATAGTGAGTTGGCTGCCGACAGGAGTCCATCATCCGGAGGAGGGGCCCAGATGTGTGCAGAAGAGTCAGAGGCATCGGGGCAGTTTGGGCCTTGACCCCTGGCTAACATGTCAGAGGGAAAATGGTAGCTGTAGAGCAATTCATAGGTGGGTGGTATGGGGAAATGATAAGCAAGCACTAGGTACTATGAAATACATGAACAGAGAACCACACAGGGCAGCTTGGGAGGGACCTGGGAAGGTGAGCTGCATTCATCATCTTTAGCAGCACCATGTGCAAAGTACTAAACACACAACTAGATAACGGCCCCTTGGTTTAACTTCCTACTTACCTGAAGGTAATAAAAACATAACTCCTAGCTGATGCCAGTGGCTTGTGCCTGTAATCCTAGCTACTTAGGAGACTGAGATCTGAGTATCAAGGTTCAAGCCAGCCCAGGGAGGAAAGTCCAAATGAGATGCGTATCAAAAAAGAAGAAAAAGCCAGAAGTGGAGCTGTGGCTCAAGTAGTAGAGCCTTACCCTTAAGCACAAAAGCTCAGGGACAGCAACCAAGCCCCAGGAGTTTAAGCCTCAGGACCGGCACCAAAAATAAATTAATAAATAACTATAACTATAACTATATATATATATATATATCATATATATAACTTGAAGGTCAATATGCTGACATTTATTTAGCATTGAACATTTCTAGGAAAATATACAGTGTAAATCTTTCAGATTTCCACACTTAATGTGCTTGAAAGCACCAAAATTTCCATCATCTAGGATGAAAATTCTTCTTACCGCCTTTCTAAGTCACTTGTCTTCCTACTTTAGAGACATTTTAACCAGAAGTGTTGCTGAGCTAAGTGAAGCTGAAAACGTGCAGGTTACTTATAAACTAAGTTCATAGACATACTTGAACCAGACAGAGGTTAATCCCGAAACGCTGCGTAAATTATGATTTTTAAATTGTTTTTAAGGAAGTAGGTATGGAAATGAGCAGAGAGTAAATTCTGATAGGAACTGCAGTATGAAAATAGTGTAGGGAGACTAAGAGAATAAAGCATCGGCAAAACACAGTGCAAGATGCACCCAAGTAGGAGGCAGGATTAGGGATTTATGCCCTTGGCGTTGGGGTGCTGGACCTCTTCATCTGGCTCACAAGAATCAGTTGTGCATGTCTCTTTTCATGTCAGTGATATTACATGAATACTTTGAAGATATTATTAGACATATACCAGCACACCACTGCACATTAGAAAGACTGCATGGCTGGGTGCCGGTGGCTCATGCCTGTAATCCTAGCTACTTAGGAGGCTGAGATCTGAAGATAGTGGTTCAAACCAGCTAGGGCAGGAAAACCCTTGAGGCTCTTATCTCCAAATTAACTACCAAAAAGCCAAATTAGAGCCGTGGTTCAAATGTGTTACAGAAGCCTAATTATTTAGCAAACATCAAGTTGTTACAAAGAGGTAAAAGGCTAGGAGGAGACAGTCAAAGCTATCCCAACTTGGGCCAAGGCCCTGAAATAAAGGACAGGCTCAAGTGGGCCTTTTCCCTTCTGTCTGTCATGAGCTCCACACTTGACCCAGATCTTTAAACTAGACCACTTACCATATTTGAGGTCCCCCTCTCTCCCCTCACAGAGTACCAATTCCTTTGAGGAATCTCTTCTTTGTTTTTGTTTGTTTGTTTTTGTGTCCAGTCGTGGGGCCTGAACTCTGGGCCTGGGCGCTGTCCCTCAGCTCTTCAGCTCAAGGCTAGTGCTCCACCACTTGAGCCACAGCGTCACTTCCAGCTTTTTTCTTTTTGCTTATGTGGTGCTGAGGAATCGAACCCAGGGCCTCAGGCATGCAAGGCAAGTGCTCTACCACTGAGCCACCTTCCCAGCCAGGAATCTCTTCTTTTCTACTCTCACTGCTGAGAATATAGGCAAGAAATACTTCCCTGTACTCTGTACTGATGCCTTCTTACCCAGCCTAGTTTGGTTCTGACCTGTCCTTCATCTGACTTCTTGTGGCACTTAAGATTCACAGTTTACAGGTTGCTTACTGTCTTATACCATTCTTCAGAGTCTTTGAACCATATCTCAGTCAGAGGTAGAGCTTCCATGTCTGGTTCTTTGCTGTCATTTGAGGTGGAGACAGAAATGTGCAGATCTCTCCTGAGTTTTTACAGGCCTGTGCCTGAAAGTGATACACACCTCTCCTGCTCACCTTGTATGGTAACCAAAACAAGCCTCAGGGCCTGGTTATACCCTCCTAGGAAGCAAGTAAAACCAGTCCCATCTTTTCCTAGCAAGAACAGGCAGGATAATGCCTGCATACGTAACAAGGGTATTGTGTTTTCTACTCCTCCAGACGGTTTGCCAGCCAGTCCTCAGAAGGACAGCCCAGGAATGTCCTGTGCGCACATCTCTTGACCTAGAACTGGACCTTCAGGCCTCTCTCACCCGCCAGAGTCGCCTCAACGACGAGCTGCAGGCCCTGAGGGACTTGCGGCAAAAGCTGGAGGAGCTGAAAGCTCAGGGAGAGACGGACCTTCCCCCCGGTGTGCTGGAGGACGAGCGATTCCAGAAGCTCCTGAAACAAGCCGAGAAGCAGGTACACCTCCAGTGCTCATCTGGTTCAGCCTTCCATGTGGGAGGTCCCCAGCTCATTCTTCTTTGCATCTGTATTCTGGGCCTTGCAACATGCCTTTCCCCACAGTTGGAGGGCATTTTTTTAAACCTGGAATATTGCTAAAACATTGCCACCACCACTTACACACCTGCAGGAAGGAAGTGTGGCATTCCTCCTCAGCATTTCCTCTGGCTCAGCGAATGACATAGTATCTTTGCATGTTTGATGACTAACCCTCTGGACTCATTAGCCCCACTAATTCTAACTACATTGCTGGTTTTAATGCTCCTGGCTTTCCTCCTTCTTTCCTAATTTCGAGGTCATAACCTCTTGGCATTCTCTCTTCATTTCACCCTATAAACATTTACATAAAATAATATAAAAAAATGACTGATTTTAAGAAACAGAGTTTGTGGAATTTATTTTTCTTTTGACCAGGTCACACCATGTAGCTCAAGTTGACCTTAAATTTTCAATGCTCCTACCTCAGTCTCCAAAGTAAAAGGAGTTCAGGGATGTACCACCATGCCCAGCAAAAGTAGACTCCTTAAAAAGGACTGTTTCTGGAAGCTGTGCTGTGGCTCAAGTGGTAGAGCGCTTGCCTTGAGTTGAAGAGCAGAGGGACCACACCCAGGCTCAAAGTTTTAAAAAAAGAATTGTTTCTAATATTCTATCACCTAATATTACTGAATTTTTTTAATCTGCAAAATATGAAATTGACTTATTTTCCCAGGATTAGTATTTGTATTTTGGCATAGGAATGTATATTCACATCCATATGTAATCTATAAATAGAACTTTTCCTATAGCTAAAATATTATACATGCTGAAATATTACTTTCTTTCAACCTCTTTGGGTAGGAATCTGAAATGGAGTCCATGAGTATCCTTGAACTAATAGAAAATGTTTATAGCATAAACTTCTTTTTCTTTTTTCTTTCTTTTTTTTTTGCCAGTCCTGGGGCTTGAACTCAGGGCCTGGCCACTGTCCTTGAGTTTCTTTTGCTCAAGGCTAGTACTCTACCACTTGAGCCACAGGGCCACTTCCGGCTTTTTCTGTTTATGTGGTACTGAGGAGTCAAACCCAGGGCTTCATGCATGCTAGGCAAGCACTCTACCACTAAGCCATATTTCCAGCACCACATAAATTTCTTTTTAATCTTCTAGTTGCAATACTATTGGGAACATTTAAGTCATTTAACTAGTGGTAACATTACTAAGTGGAACTCAGAAATTTAATAATGAATTTCAAGAATCAAATGGATATCAGGAATTTTTAAAGGAGCTCTAAGCAACAAAGCATATTACTACCTAGCTGGGTATGGTGACTCATGCTTGTAATCCCAGCTACTCTGGCAACGGAGGCAGGAGGATTGCAAGTTCAAAGCTAACCCGCACAAAAGTTAGCAAGACTCTATCTGAAAAATATAAACAAGAGGGCTGAAGGTGTGGATCTTGTGGTAGAGCTCTTGCCTAGCATGAGGGAAAGGCCCCGAGTGCATTCCCCAGTAGTGCAGCCCAAAAAGCAAAAACAAACACACAAAAAAACAAAAAAACCTGTCTCTGTTCTACCTCACAGAAGGAAGTCTTCACACATACTAGCATTTTAGGGAATGTTATCTTGCTTGTTTAGAGTTGAATGCAGGCTCGTATTTGATCTGACATGAGAAAGGAGGTGACCCAGGTATGCCAGGCCTGTAAGACTGATCTCTTCTGGGGGAAATGTTGTGAGCAGGAAGAGCATTCACACTTGGAGAGACCCGATAGGCTCAGAATGCTGTATTAGTGCAGGCCCAGATAAATGCCAGTCACCGAAAGTTCTTTGACCAAGAGCCTACCAGAGAGTTGGCCCACAGAAGACTGTGACTTCACATAATGGAAGGATCTACTATTACATTCTTTTTAAAATACAATTTTATTGTTAATACTGTTTGTAACCTTGATAAGAGTCTTTCTAGGGGGCTGGGAAGGTGGCTCAGTGGTAG